AGAGAGTGACCCTGAAGTAGAATGGAAGGGGTTCCATAACAAATTACAACTATTGAAGGGTAAAATCAAGGAATGGAACAACTTAGAATTTGGGAGGTTGGAAGAAAGAGAGCAAACTGTAATTGATCAATTGGAAGAGCTGGATAGGAAGGAGGGGAAGGGAGATTTAACACAAGAGGACAAAGAACAGAGGTGGAATCTACGGAAACAATTGGAGGATGAATTATTTAAGGAGGAAATCAGTTGGAAACATAAGTCAAGGTGTAGGTGGTTGAAGGAGGGGGACAGGAATACAGAATTTTTTCATTGCTTGGCAAGTGGGAGAAGAAGGAAGAATTTTATTTCAAACTTGGAAATAGAGGGGATAACCTTATCTGATCAGGGGGAGATTGCTAGGGAGTTTGCTAACCACTTTAGGGCTATATATAGAAAACCCTTAAGTAATAGGGGATGGATTGGCCAAGGCTGAGATCAGAAGATAGGGAGTGGTTGGAGAGAAAATTTGAGGTGGAGGAGGTTAAGGAGGCAGTATTCTCCATGGATAGATCAAAGGCTCCGGGCCCAGATGGTTTTACGATGGCATTCTACCAGGATTGTTGGGAGGTTTTGAGGGAAGAGCTTATGATGGTCTTTGAAGAGTTCCACAGAAGAGGAGTGATTAACCTGGGGTTGAATTCCACATTTATTGCTTTGGTTCCCAAGAAGAGAGAGGCAACACATCCAAGGGATTATAGACCTATTAGCCTAGTGAACAGTCTATATAAGATCATTGCAAAGGTTTTGTCCCTCAGGATTAGACAGGTGCTCAATACCATCATTTCAAATAATCAAGGAGCTTTTGTGAGGGGCAAACAAATCACTGATCAAATTCTCATAGTGAATGAGAATGTGGAGGATTTCAAGAGATCTAAGAAGAAGGGGGTGGTTTGTAAGCTAGACTTGGAAAAAGCTTATGACTTGGTAAATTGGTCCTTTTTGTTGGAGGTGATGACTAATTTTGGGTTTGGAGATAGATGGTGCAGATGGGCGTTGGGGTGTATTCGGTCTTGCCACTACTCTATTTTGGTGAACGAAATGGTGGTAGATTTCTTCCCAGCATTGAGGGGAATAAGACAAGGAGACCCCCTTTTTCCTTTTTTGTTCACCTTGGTTGCTGAAGTATTAGGGAGTTTAATCTCTAAGGCAGACTCTAGAGGGCTATTTAAGGGATGGAGAGTTGGCAGGGAAAGTATACCATTAACACACTTGCAGTTTGCAGATGATACGATTTTGTTTTGTAAGGGGGGGGGGGGACATGAATTGGATAAGGAATGTGAAACTTACAGTGCAACTATTTGAGAAAATGTCCGATCTGAAAGTTAATTTTGATAAAAAGTGTTGTAGGTGCGAATATGGGGGAAGTGAGATCCTTGAATGTGCAAATGTTTTGGGGTGTGGAGTATCGAATTGGCCTTTGATTTACCTCGGTCTTCCTCTAGGAGATAATCCTCAGAAAGGAAGTTTTTGGACTCCTGTAGTGGAGAGGTTTGAAAAGAGACTTGCTTCTTGGAAGAAAAACTACCTATCTCTTGGGGGAAGAATTACCTTAATCAGGTCTACCCTAGCTAATCTGCCCATCTATTACCTTTCAGTCTTTAAGGTGCCCGCAGGGGTGGCTAGCAAGTTGGAAAAATTAATGAGGGACTTCTTGTGGTAGCCGGGAGAGGAAAAAAAGGATCATAGGGTTAGATGGGAGATGGTGTGTAGGAATAAGCAGAATGGAGGGCTAGGCATTGGGAATATAAGGAAGAGGAATTTGGCTTTGCTAGGGAAATGGCTATGGAGGTTTTCTTTGGAGAGGGAGAAACTGTGGACTAAGATAATTTGTAGTATTCGCGGGCTTGCAGAGAATGGTTGGGACTCTGGGATTCTGGCTATGGCTACAAGAGCATCACCATGGAAATCCATTCAAGATATTTTGCCTCTCTTCTCTCCTTGGATTGGGTATGATTTACACTCAGGTAATCTCATAAAGTTCTGAGAACATGTTTGGGTTGGGGAGACCCCTTTGAAAGAACAATTTCTGACTCTATTTGCAATCTCCACCCTAAAAAATGAACCAATTACCAATTTCCTCGTTTCCTCAAACTCAAATTTCGGGTTTGGTTGGAACTTGGGTTTGAGAAGAGCACTCAGGGACGCAAAACTGGATAATGTTTCTTCTCTTTTGTCCATTCTTGATGGGATTTTCTTGGAACCCACAAAGACAGATAGTAGGATCTGGTCTTTGTCTCCCTCTGGATCCTTTACTTGTGCATGCTTCTTTAAAGCCCTGATACAACTAGAAATTCCTATTGGACTATCATTCCCTGTCAAGGAAGTGTGGTGTACGCCTATACCTCCGAGAGTTGGGAGCTTTTGTTGGGAAGTTTTCCTTGAAAGAATCAACACAGTTGACCTACTTCAAAGAAAATGACCCAATAGTTGTTTATCTCCACACTGTTGTGTTTTATGCAAAGCTACTGGTGAGTCTGGGTACCACTTAATAATATCTTGTGTTTTGGCAACAAATATTTGGGATTGGTTTGCTTCTTTATTTGGGTGCAAGTGGACACCTCCAACTAGCCTGCAAAGCTTATTTTCCTCTTCACCTATTGAATGCTCAACGAAAAGATCAAGAATTATGTGGAGATGCGTGAGAGCTATTGCTTGTTGGACATTATGGGAGGAAAAAATGCAAGAATCTTCTTGGAAAAGAGAGAAGCTTGGAAAATATGGTAGAATTGATTCATATAAGAGTAATACACTGGCTGAAGACAATGAAGGAGTTTACAGATTTTTCAACAAACGATTTGCTAAGAAAGTGGAAAGAAGTTGCTAGCTCAGTTACAAGGAAGAAGAATTTGAATCTCATGTGGAACCCTCCACCTCCTGGGTTTATCAAACTAAATTTTGATGGCAGTAGCATGGGGAATTCAGGGCCTGTGTATTGGGGGGGTCCTAAGGGATGAGAGAGGTAATGTAACAGTTTTGTTCTCTAGTCCAATTGGAGTGGGAGACTCCTTGAGGGCTGAGGTGCTAGCAATGCTGGAAGGGGTGCAAAGAGCCAAAGAAATTAATGTTAAGAAACTGATTATAGAAGGAGATTCTGCGGTTGTTGTGGATTGGCTAAAAGAAGACACTTCCAAGATGTGGAGCTACAGCAATGAGAAAAGAAAATTCAAGTGGCTGATTAAGGATATGGAAGTCCTATGTACTTGGGTTAAAAGAAATGCTAACTCCTTTGCTGATGGATTGGCTAGGCAAGGAGTTTTTAGAAATTCTGGGTTTTGGGCTCAATTGTAAGGTTTTGAGTGTTTAATTTGGATGTATTTCTGTTCTGGGGAGTTAAGATTCTTTAGCTCCTCTTCCCTGTAACTTTTTTCCAATATTAATGAATTCTGTGGTTATTGATCAAAAAAACAAAAAAGACAATAACTCTCCCCCTAGAGATCATGGGGTCATCTACATGAATCCTGTTTTGCCATTCCATTCTGTTCAGTGCCATATCCATTGTTAAATTATGGGTGCTTAAATAATTTCTTATTACTTGCACCCAAGTCCTTTTCAGTTTGCTCCTAGCTCTTCTAGTCCTTTCAACTTATAACTGATCACTTTTTTGAACAGGTGCTGTATATAGTTTTCCATGTGCGTGACCAAACCATCTCAATCTACTCTCATTTTATACTCTATTGAAGCTACTCTTAGGTACCCTTTTCTTAATCAGCAACAGAAGTTTACTATTGGAGCTACTCCAAGGTTCCTTCTTTTTTTTTTTTTTGATTAGCAACAGAAATTTACTTTCAAAAAGAAAAAAAAAAGAGTTTGAAGTCACTACATATGGGTCTTGGTATTACAACCACCTCCTAGATTCCTTTGTATGACTTCATTTCTAACTTTGTCCTTTCTAGTCTTACCACTCACCCATCTAAGCAATTGCATTTTTGCCATATTCATTTTTTGGAGATGCTGTTTCTTAACTACCCAACAGTCTATTCCATACAATAAGCTGGCCTAGGTGAGAATAAAAAAATGACCACGAAGAAAGCTCCATTGTTGTTGCATTCCACAACCTAGTATCTTCCCCTCCCCATCTAATTCTAGTTCTGATTAACTACTCAAACATGGTTACCATGAATCAGATTCCCAATCATTCACATGACATTGCAAGCAAGAAGACCACACCACCTAACCTGCACAACTTCATAGCAGTCTTCTATGGTGGCATCCTGTAGAAGAGCAAGGTTGAATAAACCATAAACTGAGGCAAGTGATCTGCCATATACCAGCTGTCACTCCAGAAGTGTACATGGGTAATCTCAGTAATCTCACCTGGAATGCATGCTATGAAGAATTTGTCCCTAATCTGCATTACTCCTTTCAATATAATCATCCCCTTAGACATAATGATTAATGACTGCAGAGGATTCACAGTCCAGATCAGAACAATCAAATTTACTGCTAATTATTCACCTCTGAATCCTACAGTATTGGTCTCAATGTGCCAAAGCCACTTGCCAAGGAATGTCCTGTCCATCATACAAATGAGATGATCGCTGACACCACCTTTCTTCATTGATGTACATGCAACAAAATGATATTTCTTTCTTTTTATCTTTATTATGGGAGGCACCAGTCGTTAACAGAAAAAGCAGGAGCTCAAACTATTTCAAGAGCATAAGTCAACATTGAGGCCTGAACTTGTAGTTATTCCAATAAAGTAAACAAAACAGGTTGCAGGCTTGCAGGTCCCAACGAATAACTTATTTTTTAAGTAGCATATATCCGAGTAGTTAGCAAAGTATGAGTTCATAATGAAACAGTATGTTAATTATCCATAAAAAAAAGGATGTTATAAACCATAATTCAGGATTCTGCATTCACATAATTGATCTACGACACATGTACTCATCTTCGTATTTGAACCAAAGCAAGAAAAGCAAAAAGCGTAAATAAATTATTTATGGAGAACAAGATCTTACAACATCAAATAGCGCAGGATCCTCTTGAAAAAATTTAAGAGCCTCGTCTCCGCTGAGGGGAAAGAAATCAAAACCACGAGTACCATTAATAAGGTTCTATTCCCAAATAGATTGAAATTCTCGTTCAAATTAACCCCAATGAAGATTACCAGTATGAGAAACTTACAAAATATAAAGTAAATATAGACTATAGGGACATGAATCACAAAACCTAAAACAAACAGTGAAGTTTTTATACCTACAGGTGTACAGCTTCTCATTTAACATCCTGAAATGACCTCCTGACAACCTAGCTCGCATCTGTGCATTACTCATAACCATTATAAAATCGCCCCAACACACACACGCACACACACACACAGAAAGAGAGAGACGACCTTGTCGAGAAAGTTGGAGGCGTTGGAATGCCCTACTGTGTGGGTTTTCCGCCGTTTCGATTCGGGTTCAATAGCGGAATTTTCCTCTTGGGCTTCTAAGTGAGCCACTTCCTCCTCCTTCCTCTTCTGGTTGTGTTCGCGGGAAGATTTTCGGGCTCTCCGTCGCCTCCTCCTCTCCCGCTTCCGTTTCCCGACCTCCATCCTCGGGGCTTGGCCTTCAGGACTTGATTTTTGTTTACCTTTGGTGGTTACACGAGTTTCTGCTCTCCGTCCGGCGGACCGCGGCTCCTTCCCCCTCGGCCCCTCGGCCCCTCCGCCCCCGGTCTCAAGAGAGTGAAGAAAGGCTCTCCGGACTACCGTCCTACCGGTGCTACTACCAGGTTCTAGGATTCCTCGGAGTTCAGTCCAGTGGGAACGAATAATGGCGGGTTTCTCCTCCAGAATCAGCGGTTGGACCGTCGAAAATACGTAACCTACTAGTAGGCTAGCAGCGGTGTAAATAGACCGGATCATGATCCGATCCGAATTCGAATTCGAAATCGAATTTTCGGATGGGATAATAAAATCCGATTAAAAATTGGATCAATTTCAAGTTAATATTATAATTCTTCATACTAATCATATTGGTGAAATAGTGTTTTTTTTTTTCTGTTAAATCTAGATATTTTTGCAGCTAGGACTAGGAGATTGTGCAATTCTAAAACTGAGGCAGACGTCAGTGGCTGCCTGACTTCCCCACAAGGATGGCAGCCTTGTTTTTTTTGGCAAGCCCTTTCTACTCGTGGTTCCATTCAATTCAGATGATCATAATATGGAAACGTGGTTGTGGCTCATTTTGGGTTGGGAAATGTGATCATTCAGATGATCATCCTTATGCTATTCTCCAATGTCCAGATTATCCCCAGGTTGAGGTTGTAGGTCTTATCTTTTGTGATCCAAACTCCAAAGTAACTGTCAATTTCTTGTGAATGCTATAAACCAAGGAAATGCTGAAGTGGTTAGGGATGCTTTCTTCCTTGTCAAGGATATTGTGAATCTGTCTAAAGAACTGGAATGCTGTTTTCTCCTTTGTTCATAGATCACCAAATAGTGTGGCCCATAGCTTAGCAGCTAAAGGCCTTAATAGTTGAGTCTATTTTCAGGCTTGGCTGGACTGGATCTTCTTTTTTTTTTTTTTGCAAAGAAAGATCCTTCATTCATATCATATAGAAAAACTTACATGGTTAAGATCCAGTCCATGTAATTATCTTTAAAGCTTGCCCAATAAGATTTTGTATCTTCTGTTTCTTCTATAATATAATTATCTTTAATCCAAAAAAAAAAAATACAGTATGCCTGATATAATAAGGGGCCTAAGAAACGATATAGGGCATAAACATATAAATACTCTGAACCTAGAATTCGATTAAATGTAGTGATCCAATTCTAAATTATTTATTGGACAATAGTATTGTTGAAAGAAATTTACTAAAAACATACATCACTAACTATTAAATATAATGATAACTTATTATTAAAGTGATCTTGTTGAAATGTTGATGACCCAGTAGGTGAGATGGTCACTTTATATCCCACCTAAAATGGAGACTGAGATCAAATTTATGTAACCATAGGTTTTCCGTGGTAAGGCTAAAACTGTTACATGCACCCAACTTTGTTCCCACCCGAGTCCCCACGTTTGATTCATGGGAATAGGAGTCTGGAATCAGAATTGAATTCCAACTGTTTGGCTGGATGGAATTAAAATCTCATTTTCATTCCCCTCATTTGAGGGAATGATCATTTCCTCTCCCTTAGGAATGAAATCTCATTCCTGCTGATTCCAATTTTCATTTCCATTCCTATCTAAACCAAACAGTTTATGGAAAAAGACCATTTCGATTTCAATTTTAAAAGATTTTGATTCCGATTCCGATGACAAACCAAACTGACCCTAAATAAATAAAAAATGGTGTTCAAATCTTTTACTTTGGGCACATGAATATCTTAATTTGCCGATGCATTGTTGCAGTTGTTCCTAACAAATTAATTAGAAAAGCACAAACCTTTTCCTCTCTTGACCCTCTCACGTCCTGCACTGCCATGCAGTTTCTTGTTGCTTGAGTGTTGTTTTTAGGTGTCACAAGACTGTTCTATTTATAAAAGCTTTAGAAGAAAGCTAGACACTTTATTAAGTACTCTCACTATGTAATTATCAACACTCTTGAAGTTGATGTTCCACATCTAATTTCAATATTTCATCTCACAAAAAAAAAAAAAAAAAGGATCATCGTCATTTCCCGTGGGCCGTGGGCCGTGGGCCGTGGAATATTTTGTCCTCTGTTGCTGTTGCTCCATTACGTTTATTATTATTATTATGAATTTATGATGGCAAGCCAAATGTTGTTGCTGTTGCGCCCAGAATGTCTCCTCCTAACCTATATCCGGTTTCAGCTTTTTCCGGGTTTGTGAAAGAGGAGGCCGGAGCCGGAGCCGGAGCCGGAGCCGGAGGATATCAAGCTATCATGTAGTTTTGATAATAGGGGCCATAGACTAAGCGACAGACGATATATCATCAAGCTATCAACTGGTCTTCCATCGTCGTCAAAAATCAAAATCATCAAGTTGCAGTGCACGGGTAAACCGTGCAAGGAGATTGTAGTTTCCCACTTCAGAAAATCTTATCAACCAAAAACAAAAGAAAAAGGTTGCTAATTTTCTATGCAAAACCTACATCATTAGATCAACATAAACTTTGGAGATGATCCCTTCAACGAGGCCAAAGTAAACCTGCATCTGGCAGCTTGATGATCATTAATTATGAAACTTGCAGAATTTCCTTACAATTTTCCGTTGCCTGAAAATTACGTTCATATCAACGTTCTCATGCATTTATTATTTAACCGGGATTTATTTCTTGTTGTCTTCAACATTAGACCGAAAACAATGGAAGTGCATCTTGTTGAGAGAAAAACTTGAATGCGAATGTGTACTCAGGAAGCCCTAGTGGTGGGCGACGATAATGGCATTTCAAACCAATAAACATGGTGACTCCATGAATATCAACTCTGTAATCAGGATTAGGGCTTCAATTTACTACAAAAACAGATTAACCCATGACTATTGGCACTGCACCATATGCATACAAGATTTCAATGCCTTTGTAACCTTCACAAAACTAAACAAAGGCAGGTAGGTTACTATGTCAAATATTAAAAAGCAAGTGCTTTGGTCATCTACACTCACCTTCAGGAACCCCTAAGTTCCTAACCACCGCAACTAAAACAAAACACAGAAAAGTGGTGCATATAAATATAGCACATCAAAGAAGAAAATAGTCCTATATCATACAGGTAAGCCTCCATTTACCACATCCTAGGGTCAACTAAAGCCATAAAGTACCTTCTGAGGATCCAACTGCCCACTGCAGTAACTTGATGATACGACCGAAAGCTCTTGGCGGCCCTTCCATTCTTCAAACGGTTTAAGGACAATTTTGTTCTCAATTGCAGCTGAATCCACACACAACATGGTCATGTAATCCTCATCCCCAAAATCTGGTAGAACCTTGGCCTTCTTGTCCCATGGGTTCCATACAACTACAGACCATGCAATATAACATGTCAAAATATCAGATTGTTGAATGTAGATTTTGTCCACATGGAAGAATTTTGTTTTCTGAGGTTTATCAGATAAAACTGCACAAGGCAATCAAGTTTAAAGGGATATCAAAGCAAACCTGCATCTGGCAGGCCTTCTTTCCTGAGTACAAGGGTTCTTTTCTTCTCATGGTCTATGATGGCAATCTTTGTTGGTGTGCTCAAATACACACGATCCACCTGTTCAAGAAAGCTACAACTCAAAACTATGTGACAGGCAAAATAGATTCAAGTCATTGTATACCCAGAATCTCTTTACTATATTGCTGGTGTATTGGTTCCATTCTTTGCACCACTCAAAGATGACTTGCTTTCCTTCATTCAAGCAGGCTAGAGAGAGATGAATCATCCTCTCCTAAGATAGGAGCTTACGCTATACTCTCAGCTTGTCTAATCTCCACATCAAAACACATGCATGGAAATGACAAAGAAAGGCAGGAAAGTAGTACCTCTCCATCAAAAGTAATTGCATCTGCCTGCTCTGTGAATCTCTCTTTCTGCATTAGATTATCAAAGTAATCAAGCGTCTCCAAACCCTCAACACGCACTTCACTGTAAATCAAACTGCATCATGCAACTGCTCTAAAAAAGACAACAGTGAATATACTCTACACTAAGCTCCTAATAAGAGAACTCAACCAACCCAACTATAGAGCTTGGAAGAGGAATGGATGAAATAGGAAAAAGAGGTGAAGAAAAAAACTTCAAGTCATGTAAACATCTTAACTTGCAGCCAAAAGAAGAAGAAAAGAAAAGAATAACAGAAGGAACAAAGTTCAACCATTCATCACAGAATGAGAAACAGTTCTGGATTAAGGGCAAACCTGATATCTGATACGCATAGGTAATTACGCAGAGCAAACGTAAATGAGAAGACCTTGTTATCAGTATTCCTCACCCGAGGGATCAAAGTCAGCTTGCCAGCACCAAGTGAAATACGTAACCGCAATTCAAAACTGCATGAATTCATGTAGAAAAAATGGCTAGGGGCTTGAACAAATGCTGGTATATTCGCCATATTATCATTGTCTAACTAAACCGAGCTGCCAATGGTTTACCTCCGTGGCCACATCTTATGATCCTCCTCTGTTGACTTCAAGATGAGATCCACAGTTGACTGGTTGTTAGCCGGAGGAAGTGGTGATGGGCAGCTATCTAATGACCACAATCTGTTCCTTGCAAATCCATGTTGCTCTAGTGATCCCAAATTACCAAACTGCAAACGGAAAGTTGGAAATGAAGCATGTCCAGACACAGAAAGAAAGCTGAATAGGTCCCTGGCAATCCACTTAACCAACCTGGGGAAAGCAAACGGGTATTCCTCCCCTAATGGCTCTAGGTGGTTTCCAAGAAGCCTGTGGAACAGAAGAACCCACCATATTTAATAGGATTTAGAATCACAATGCTCTTCTAAATCAAAAATAGTATATAAAAGATATGCAACCTGTGTAAAGTTTCACACTAAAACTTGAACATAGACACCCCAGTCAGAGTTTGATGCATTGTGAAGTGCCCCAAAACTACTCTGAGAGACACATATGGGATGTCTGCACATGTCCAACTAATGTACAAAATAATATATAATAGATTTGAATGAAATAACAGAACTAAATGAGATAAAGAAAAGACAATCAGAAGATTGAAAAGGAAAAAAGATAACAAAATTTGAATTGTAAGCATGCCAACTACTTTTTGCTCAAGAAGTATCCTAAACAGGGATTTTTGTATCATTTCAGGGATTCTCCTATTTAAGAACCCTACTCATCTTGATGAGAAAAAAAATTGACTGGCTAATAAGTTGGCAGATATTGGGAACTACTTTAATGCTTTGATAGCAAGAAAAAAAGATACAACCTTGTAGATGCATGCTACAGGATATCCTTTAAAGGTAAAATCCTAATTCTTTGTCCAAACAGGGTTCCATGTCGTCCAAGATGTTCACTACAATTATACCTTTGTTAAATATCCCAAAGTGCATCAATCATACCCACCACTTTTCTTAATCATATTTTACCATCAAAGAAACACTTATTTGGTGCAAGCTGGGGTCTTGGGAGGGGTGAACTGGATAAAGACCTAACCTTTCAGTTTTTATTTTTATCTATTTATTTTGCACAAAGTATTTGCTCTCAGAGTCCCAAAAATATTCAAACTCAAAATACAGATTTCAGAGCTACATTTATGTTTCCAGAGAACCATTGCAGGAAACACAGGGAAAGCTGGTCAAACCATCTGGGCCAAATAATTTTCCTCAATGATTCTAATGTTTGTAAATATCCAATTAGGGTTTAACCAAACCTAGCCAGGAACATAGATGATGAACATTTTATCCTGATTTTCTTCAAAAAAATATACACCAGAAAAACCTGATGGGATTCTATAACATTTTAAAACACTGACCAAACCAAACCTACTTTAATCCTCTAGAAAGTTTTGGTTCAAAAACATTTTATCCTAATTTACATTTCCATGCTTGTGGCATTGTTTAAGCCAATCCATCCTAGCCCTCCAGTATAGTTGAATAATAATTGAAAAAGAAAATTTAAGAAATGAAATTCGAGATGTTTCATCAGAATGAGTTTACCTTGCTGCTTATAAAAAGTAATTCTTCTCTACGTTCATTCTTCCAAGACACAACTTGCCCACCATACAAGAGCACCTACAGTCATTTTGAGTTAAACTAGATGAGAACCAAATAGACAAATATTGAGGATTTCACCAAAACAAATCATATCTCCAAAATCTGAATATGTTTTTAAACATATGAAAAAGGAAAGGCATTGATTTGGGCACATCCTGTGTTTGAGATTAATCAAAAGTACATGTTCTAAACGACCAAAAGAATCTCTATATTTTCAAATTTTGTCCTTACAAAAGAAGGATATTCTGTGTCTTTTTACAGGGGATGCACCTCATTTATGATGTGCCAAAATGAACATTCAAAAGGAAAATTTCCATATATAGGTACTAACCCATAAAACTCCAGGATTAAGTTGAATTGGTAAGAAAATAAGGATAAGCCTAATTTCTTTTTGGGGTAACTAGATGCAGTACACAGAATATGAAATTTGTTATGTGTAACGAGTGATTTCAATTAATCAGCACCCAGGTGATCTGTCTCCTTCAACACCCACTTAATGCAACTAAGATCTTAAGGTGGGTCATCAGAGTCCACTTTGATATTAAATAAATATTATTGGGGCCGTTTACAATATAAGCCTCACAATGGCAATCCTAAAATTAGGAAGTTGTAGGAAGGTAATGTTCAAATAGTTTCTGATGCGTACAGTTCATGAAAATAAATAAATAAATAGAAGGATTTCTGATGCGTCTGCGAATAGATAGCATCTAGAGATCTAGATATTGTGAAGTGTTTGTCATCTGGTTTCAAGAAATGAAACAAGGAGTAGCTTGAAGTAAATACTACCTACCAATCAGAACGTTTATTCCCATCAACTAAGACGATTTAACTAATTAGTTTGTTAATTAATTAATTAAATTAGATAAAAGAGATGGAGAGGGGGACCTCAGCTGATGATCCGCCGGGCTCCGTCAATATAATCCGGGGTAGTCCATCGGCGTAATGAATGATGTTCAACGGCATCTGCTTCGACCGCAACCTCGCTCTTAAACTATTAACAAGTGGATGGACTCTCCCTTTCCTCCACTCCAGTCTCCAGCTAAAGCAACACAAAAGCCTTATAACTCCATACACCATCACAGTTGCAGTAACAGCAAAACAACTAAAAATTCTAGGAATTCACTCGAAAATCCTATATCTGAAACCCTAATTGCAGAACGGCGAGCCTTATCAGGCCTCGACCAACTAGAATGGAAATAAGAAATGCTCAAATCATGAACAAAATTATTACCACAATATATAAATGAATGACTGAATAGCTAATACCTTTTATTTTTTCTTTATTAATATCGGTTTCGAGTCTGACGAACAGGCCACCCACTTCGAGCTTGCAAGAACCCCATTTTCCTGAGAGAGAGAGAGAGAGAGAGAGAGAGAGAGAGTTATAGAGATGGGGCCTCTCTCAACGAGAATCACTGTATCCTCTCACTGTATGCCCTTCTCATTTGTGTCTCTTTCCGTTAACGAGCGTGAACATCTGGAGAGGATTCCATTCACTAACCAGAAATTTTTCCTTTTATTTTTATGACAAAAGAAAAAAGGAAAAGAAAATAATACAAGTAATAGAAATATTTTTCAACCAAGGTCATCCATTTCTTTGTCCCTTTATCCTTTTTTTGTATTTTCCTTCCAATCAATAAATCTTACTGTTAAGTGGTGGTGGACGTCCTTTATTCGATCGGGAGAAGAAGACAAGAAGTTTGGGAAGTGGGAAAATTGGGATGACTTATTTAGTTATTTTCTTTCTTCCCTCTCGCCCTCTCGACAGCCGGCACCCGGCAGTCAGCATCTCTCTCTTCTCTTTTCCTTTTCCACTTTTCCTTGCTTCTGATCTGTATTTTAGCCATTTTTCCATGCTCAACCACCACTGGACTGAGCTGACCAGCTGATGGCGATTAACGCGCTGGGCCGCCTGAGCACGCACATACATAGAAAGGATCGCATCACAACAGCAATTCACAATCACAATTCATTAAAGTAAATGAACGAGCTTTGAAATTTGAAGCCAAAACTCAAAAGCAGTGTCACCGGCCAATGGCCATTTCACAATACATACGGAGGAAAGTGGACACTCTCCCTAGTCCCTACCACTACCAGAAGGTCTATAACCATTACGATACGATGGCAGGTAGCGGCGGTTTGATCATTGATCGCTAATAAATATCATGTCTTCTTTCTTTCTTGTGAGTTGCGACCTTGGACAAGGACAAGTTGCTGGTTGTCTTACTTATAATTCAAAAAAAAAAAAAAAAAGAGTTAATTTTCATTTTTGGTTGATAGTTGGGTATCCCGTGTCGGATCCGAGACCTTCCTTAATCCTTACTGAAGCAGCAGATGTGATGTCTGATGTGAACTGCGTTGACTCCATCTGCGCTATAACCAAATGGATATCCTTTCATCTGCAGGAAGATCGATCCATCTCGCTGTTGATCCAATAGTGTTGCTACATGTGAACCATATATATGCATGGAGATAAGTATTAAAATACAATGCTGTCCGTCCTTCTTATTGGCTTCACGAGTGTGTTGAGGATCTCGGGGTCCGGGTCGGACATGTTGGGGTAACTGGGTAAGGGTTGTGATGTTGCAACTTGGATTGGAATTGGATTGAATTGAATGATAGGATATTAGGCTTAGGGTTGGAAAATAGAAACCCGGTATAAATATGGGCGGGTCCGGATTAGGCTTGGCCGACCCAACTTAATCCAACCCACTTATGTATATAAGCATAGGAGGATGGTGAAGGGTTATTTATCATATTACGCTGAGGAAGTAAAGCACCAAATAACAATTTAAGGTGATATGAGATGCTTTAAAAGATTTAAGAACTCTCGTGCAAGTAAATGTATATATTAAGTTAGCTAATTAAGATGGATGAGTGAAAAAATTAGAAAAAAAATATAAGAAATAAAGTCACTCAAAGGAATGTGAGAATAGCTCCATAAAACTAGAGAAAGTAGACTTGGATGGTTTCATAACATGCAAAGAAGCCATCAATGACATGTAAGAAAAAAAGTAATTTGTTGAAAGTTGAAGCAAGGTTCCAAGCATTGATATGATAGGGTCCACATTTTTGGTTGTTGAAATGCTATTTATCAAGAATTTAAATATTTATATTTTAAACATTATAATGTATAATTAGATAGGTTTCCTATCAATTTATCAGCAAAATATGAAATAAGTACAACTTTTGGTTAGCTAAAACTCTCTAAACACAAATTTTGTGTGTCAAGAATATTAATACTTTGAACATTGAGTTGAAAGGTCTTGAAGATTTAAGGGTAGACCAAAATAACATGAATAGTAGTAAGAAGTGATTTAAGTATCAATAATGTAACAATGGATGTGGCACTAAACAGAATGGAATGATGAAATAAAATTCATATAATTGATTCCATATAGGTCTTGTTCGTTTTTTTGGGAAGTTATTTATCCGGGTAATTGCATTTACCCATGTTCTTTTAGTTCTTAGGTAAATAAGAAAATGACCATTTTAGCCATAAAAATCCATTATTAAAGGAGCAATTTTATCACATCCAATTATTGGCAACTTCCCCTAGGTAGAAAAGTTAATTATCCATTTGGGAGATGAGTATCATTTACTCGAATAAGTGATACCCAAGGAAAATAAATTTTCTATGGACCCTACATAAATCCAAACAACAGAACATGGGTATCTTGGTCAATAAGAATCAAAATCCCATTCATCAATTTTCCCTCTCAAAATCCAAAAAAAAAGGGCCCATAATTGAAAAAAAAAACTTCGATGATGATGATGATATGATAAGACTCCCATGCAAAATGCAACTTTTGTTCAGGTCAATCCACTTGGAACCCATTTCTTAAAGCGCCTTTAGGAGAATGTGCTCAACCATGTTACCCGCATTGACCTCCATTTTTTAACGGAGGGGTAAGAACAACCAAAGAAATTGATGATGGGAATATTAGCTGAAGCCCCATCACCACCAATCAAGCCATTATATAGAGGAAATTCGAACTCACCGTCTTTGATTAGGTGCTCATCAACCACTGGTTTTACTATGTTAGAATAGAGATAGTGAATTATAGATTACTGCCATCCGTGGGCTCCACATTCAGGAAGCAAGTTCAAGTCGTTAGAGAACTGTCCACCTGCACCAAGAGCAAAGAAAAATGGTATTACTAGTTGAAAGAAAGGAACTAGCGTCAGTGCAAAACCAGGATGAGAACCCAAAACACACTACTTAAATTTCTGGCTGAGAAAGCAATGATAATACCTGTAACACCATATACAGCGCCCAAGTCGTTTTGGTGCCAATTCTTTGTCAACATTCAACACGGATGTCCTCAATTGGGATATGCAGTATTTATTATATGAACCAATAGGTTTATTGGAAAAGTGATTTATTGCAAGTTGAAGCAAGGTTTTAACTTTTAAGTATCAATATGGCATGCTCTGTTTATTTGGATTGTATTAAGAATTTTAGGGTCCATTTGATTCATAATTGGAATTAGAATTGAAATGATATATTCTAATAGTCTATTTAATTTAGAAAAGAATGAGAATGAGAATCAACGAGAATGAGATTTTATTTTCAAGAAAGGGAAAGGGAATGGTCATTCTTTCAAATTAGGGAATGCTGTAACAGAAGGATGGGAACGAAAAACTGATTTCACCCAACCAAACAGTCCGATTCCAATTCCAAAGCCCTATTCCTACAAACCAAATGGGGCCTTAATATTTTGACTTTTTGACATTATAATGAATGATTATATAAGTCTTTTATGAATTTATCAGAACAAAATATAAAAAAATATAAATTTTAGTTAGCTAAAAATATCAATATGCAAATTTTACATACATTGCAACGGACACAAAACCATAATTAAAACAAGGGCTATTACTACAGCCATCTAAAGGATAATAAAGCAGTTGCAACCAGACCTTAACCCCACCATCCTAATTCCTAACCATGCTCGTCCACCTATATTTAGGGGGGAAAACCTTGGCAGTTTGCATAAAACTTTCTCCCTAAGCATGATATATAATCAACTCTAAACGTTTAATTAACCTCTGTGAGTCTGTGACAGTGTTAAAAGCTCAATTTGCTTTTTCATTTTGTTAATTAAAAACAAAAAATAAAAAATATATTTTTTTTCAGAAAACCCTTTGCATCATAAATTCATAATCATGATTTTCAGTTTTTCACTCCCCAAAAACCATTCCCGTCCATCCCAAAGCTGATTACAATCCGTTCAGTCAACTTCAAACATCACCATGCCAAAGCTATACACATCGGCCGAGGTATTTGCTTCACCAGATTCTATATACTCCGATGCCATGTATCCAAAGATCCCACGAACTAATCTCTTTGGATTGGAAACCACATGATGGCCATGCTCATTCCGAGTCAAGAATTCAGCAAGAGCAAAGCAACCCAGACGTGGGTTCATGTCAGGGTCAAGAACAGTAGCCGAAGACGACGCCATTGCTGCAAGCTGTTGGTGGAGTTTGTTTCTATTGTCAAATACAAAGGTTCTTTACTTCAATCACTTTGGGCAATCGTTTAATTAAAAGGTGCCAGACTAGATCAATCGTTTAATACCATTAAAGTAGTTCTCTCTCTGGTCGACAGTTTGGGCTATGCACCGTTGGAGGCATCTGTTAGTCCTCTCTTTGATCTGCAATTTGAGAGATTGTTCTCACCGGTGGGATATTTTACTGTTTACCAAGTCACTTTAGAAGTCTTTCTCACCGGTGCAGTTAACAATGATGGAATCGGTGGAGATGAGACTTGAGAGGGAGAGAAGAGGGATGGGCGGGAATGGTTTTGAGGGAGTGAAAAACTGAAAATCATTATTATGATGCAATGGTTTTCTTTGAAAAAAATAAATATTTTATTTTTTATTAACAAAATGAAAAATGAAAAAGCAGACTGAGCTTTTAACGTTAGGGTTAGTTGAACGTTTGGGGTTGATTACGTGTTTTACTTAGGGAGAAAACAAACAGCCTAGGCTGTTTTGTGCAAACAGTCAAAATTTGTCGAGACCAAATCAACCCCCACAAGATTGCCCTCACAATGTCCCACAATACATTACCGCCGTGTATTGAAAATATTTTCATCAGGAAATACTCTCTATACATGGTGGAGATGCACTGTGGGACGTGAGAACCGTCCCATCACATACTTGCACATTTACCACTATAACCTCATTACACTACAATCAGTATTTTCAATTTCTGTTGATCCAAACAGTAGGACCATTCATCGTGAGAACCGTCCAAGCAATTGATTCTATAGTTGATCAGTTGGATTGAGTTGGGTTGTTGGACTTGCTTTTCTCATCATCTTCTCTAACTACCATCACCTAATTATTTCACTTCTATTCTGCTTATTGACTGTTAACTGTTAAGGTCTCCTGATCTTGTTAGAGGGAAGAGAAGCCATACCATGCTGTAAGAGCCAATCTATATTGCTAAAATAAAATTAGAAATCTGTTTCTTCGAGTTTTTTCTCTCTCTCTCTTTTTTTTTTCCAATCAGATCAATTTGTTTTTAGTTAACAATATATTGATGACACAATATGCAACGAAAAAAACCCCAATTATCTATGTGTATTGTATAGAAGGTTTCAAATCTTAATGGTGTTTGTAAATTTTTTTTGGCTTTCTTTTTCTTCAAGATAAATGAAGATTCAGCTTTGTTGATTAGCTCAAAATAGGGATTACAATCGAATATACACCATTATTGCGTCTATCAGTATGGCATAAGCAAGAACCTCAAGAGCTTGAAATGACTTCAGTTGTTTGCAAAAGTGAAGGTAATCATGGGATTTGCCTCTAGTTTATATTTTTCTTGTTTAATATCCATTATTAGAATCAATTGCCTTTGTTACTCTTCAGTTCCCATTTCGTGTTGTGTATTAATCATAAATTTTAAGGATTAATTTGATCATTTTTATCTCTCTTGTCAAGGATGAAGAGGCAAAGTTAAATTTTATTTCGAATATCAACGAATCAAATTTCGGTTTACCTATCATCCATTTGCAGTCCTATCCTGAATAATAAAGTCTTGTTTCATGTTTGCATCAAAATCAATACTCCACATTACAAGATACAAAATGTGGTGTGATCATATCAAATTAAATCATCATGGTTGGTGTGTTCAAATCTTTTTTATGACAATTGGCATAGAGTAATATCATCAGAATGGAAAATAAAATCAAGGGATAATAATTAATTCTTATTATTCAGCCTCGCTGCCAATTTATGAGAAGTAAATGCTGCACAGGTCTAATTCTTCAATGCAGACATAGAAGTGTCAAAAGAACTTATCAAGCACAGTGATAATGGTATTAACAATACTTGCAGAGAATTATATCATCCATGACATATTAACAAAAGTAGAGGTATCTCCTGATCTTGCACATTGGACTTGAACCTGGCCCAGTTTCCCGGGATCAATGCCAATAAAAACCATCACATCTAATACCCTTGTGGAATATTTTCTCATGGGGCTTTCAAATTTCCTCTTCAGTGTTTCAGTTTTTCCACAAGCTGAACCTGTTTGCTGCAGTGATTTCAAAACTTCATCAACGCCGAGTCGTGCATGATGGGTGACTCTGAGCATCCTGGGAGCAGGGTGCATCATCTTGTTTCTGATCGTCTAGTTTCATTAGTGTTAAAAAGGGATTTAGATACCCGCGCGCTTAAATGCATCAAGCAAATCGTCATCTTCATCATCAACAAGTGTTATTTTATATATATATATATATATATATATTTTATTTTATTTGACTTGACTTCCAGATGCTTTAAAATAATTTAGATTGTATTATTGTTGTTGCGTTTTGTTCCCTTGTACAAAGACAATATATATTCCTTTTTTTTGTTATTAATTGATAAAACCTTTTTTAGGAATAAAATAAAACTTGTAAAAGGTAACGTCATAAAGAGAAGAAAGAAGATAACAAATACAAGAGGGTCCCCAGCACCTCAAAACAGAACCCACAATGCCAAGGACCCCCAAAGACACAAACATAATTAAACACTCATAAGTAATTAAAAACCACTTAAAATAAGTACTTGTTTAAATGTTTTCCAACAGGGTCTTAGTTTCTTACCTTTCTTGTCTTACGTTGCACAAACATATACAAAGAAATGTCTTAACTCCTTCGATTAATTAGGACTCAACGGCAACATCTCCATCTCTTTGAATCCGCAAAATTATTGGATGAAACTAAACGAAAGGAAAGGATGTATATATATAATTTTTACATTAAGGAGAAGAGGAGAGTCTGGGTTTTCATATTTCTGTTTCTTCTTCTATCATTCTTTACTATTTCAATCAAACCACTTGCGTGTCAATCTATTTCCTTGGACAGTACTTGGACTAGTGGATTGGGGAGACAGTTACCGAGTTTACCTAGCTAGTCCGTAAGTTTTCTTGCTGTGGTCCTTTTTTTTTGTTCGCTTCATGGGGCTACACAACAGGGGGTAGCCCTGGAATATTGATTTGAGCTAATCACTCAATTTGATCACAACAGAAGTTTTACAAAAATATACCTGACAGATTCAATGCAAATTTCTAAATTTTACTGCAGATCTATAAATGATCAAAATGTCAAATACACCCATTCTATACATCAATGCTTGCCTAACTGGTATTGTAATTTGAGCCTAAAAATTCTGATCCTGGGCTGAACCGTGATTCTCCCCAAGTTTTAGGATTGGCATGATCTGATGCCAATCTGATGGTGTCAAAGTAATTCCTCATCAAAATACTTTGATCATCTGATTCTGATTTGATCTACAATATTCTCTTGGGTGGACAGTGGACCCATAGCCATAGGGAAAGACGTTTCTTCCTGTCTTTGTGTGAATGAGGTTCTTGACTTCTTGTTTTGACCATACCAGACGTAGGACGGAGAATCTGCACTGCCGCCGACTTGATTTCGCGCCTTTTACAATTTAAGCTGTGTTTGGTTTGACAGAGAAGATAGGGAAAGGAAGGGAAACCTTACCAAGTCTACCTTAGAGTGATGCACGACTACGAGTGAATCGGTGATCTGATCATCTCAATTCTCAACTATTATATCTATTTGGCCATTTCTATATCTGTCTCTCCGACTCCGACCGCGTTACACAGACAGAGTCTAGATTTCAGCATGAATGAGAATCCCCTTCCATTTTCTTAAGCCCTTCGAAAGACTCGTTGCACCCCCTAACCTTTTTCCATATGTTGGCCTCTCCCCCACCTCCATCATCTCTCCTTCGATTTCAATCAACATACTTCACACCAAATCTAATACTAAGACTGCTCTGCAAATCTCCTCTCTCTTGCAGGGATGCACCCACCTGAACCGTCTCAAGCTAGTCCATGCCAAGATTATTGTCCACAGCCTGCAACATGATTCTCATCTATCGACCAAAACCGCCATTTTATATGTCACGTTCCACTGCATCGACTCTGCAAATCTCCTGTTCCGAAAGATACTCGATCCATGTACCTACTTGTGGAATATTTTGCTTAGGGGATATGCCACCGAGGGCCGCTTCCTCCAAGCCTTGAAACTATACAACAAAATGATAGGTGCGCGCGTCAAGCCCGACAAATTTGCTTTCCCTTTCGCTCTCAAATCTTGTGCTGGATTATCCGCATTGCAGACGGGGAAACAGATACACCAACATTTGATCTGCTGCGGTTGCAGTAATGACCTTTTCGTTGATGCCGCTTTGGTGGATATGTATTCGAAATGTGGAGACGTTGAAGCTGCTCGCCTGGTGTTTGATAAGATGGCAGTGAGAGATTTAGTTTCATGGACTTCCATGATTTCCGGGTATGCCCACAATGGCTACAATGGCGAGACTCTGCAGTTCTTCGATCTCATGAGGTATTCCGATGTAAAACCAAATCGCGTTAGTTTGTTGAGCGTTCTTCTGGCTTGTGCTAATCTAGGAGCTCTTAGAAAGGGAGAGTGGTTTCATAGTTATGTCATACAGACGGGGTTTGGGTCCGATATCCTCGTTGCAACTGCCGTCATGGATATGTATGCCAAATGTGGAAGCTTGGAGTTGTCCCGGCATTTGTTCGATCAAACGCTTGGGAAAGATGTTGTCTGCTGGAGTGCGATGATTGCAAGCCATGGAATGCATGGGCATGGGAGGAAGGCGATTGATCTTTTTGGTCAAATGGTAGAACAGGATGTGAAGCCAAATCACGTCACTTTCACTTGTGTGCTCTCTGCTTGCAGCCATTCGAGGTTGTTAGAAGAAGGGCAGAGGTACTTCAAATCAATGAGCAACGAGTTTGGGATTGTCCCAAAGCTAAACCATTATGCATGCCTGGTAGATCTTCTTGGTCGTGCAGGAAAACTCTTGGAAGCTGAAACGCTCATAGAGAGTATGCCAATTGAGCCTGATACAAGCATATGGGGATCTCTGCTCGGTGCTTGTCGAATATATGGTAATTTAGATTTAGGAGAGAGAGTAGCGGATAAGATCTTCCATTTAGACCCCACTCAAGCAGGATATCATGTTCTGTTATCCAACATCTATGCTGCCAAGTCAAGATGGGTCGATGTTGAGAGGGTAAGAGAGCTGATGGCTGGAAGAGGAGCCAATAAGATCCAAGGTTTTAGTTTGATCGAGTTTAACAACCAGGTTTTCAAGTTTGGGGTAGGAGATAGGTCGCATCCTCAATCGAAGAAGATTTATTCTTATCTAGAAGAGTTGGCAGCTCCAATGAGACATTTGGGTTATGTCCCTTTAACAGATTTTGTGCTTCATGATATTGAAGATGAAGCAAAAGAAGTGGCACTCTCATACCACAGTGAGAAGCTGGCCATTGCATTTGGCCTCATCAACACAAATCCTGGGATTCCAATTCGCATCACAAAGAACCTTAGGATCTGTGGGGACTGTCACAGTGCAATCAAGTTCATTTCAAAGATCGTGAATCGGATCATCATTGTGAGGGATATGCATCGTTTCCACCATTTTGAGAATGGTGCATGTTCTTGTGGCGATTACTGGTAATAAAAACCATGGGTGTGAGGTATGATGTCCAAAGTGGTTTTAAGTATCATTCTTAGTGAGATCGAGAGGATTCAAGGAAACAATATCTGCTTTATGAAAGAGCTTATTTGATTAAGATTTCAAAATCTATTTTCAATTTGGAGTTGATTTAGGAATTAAACAGATCGGAATGGCAAAACAAGATTCATGTAGCCGACTCCATGTGATTGGGATAAGGCGATGGTAATGCAACTATTACCAATTGAGTGGTAACGGAAGAAGGTACTTCCTGCTTAGGTTGGTCGTGCGTTGTTTAACACAGAAATGCCGGAAGTTGTTTTCAGTCATGAAATTGCAGTTGACAGGATTTTATACATCGCTGCTTTCTCCTCCATCAAGTTTTTGCATATCTTCAGCCACCTACTACCAAGGCATTGTCATTGGTTTATTAAAAATTCTCTTGCTTTCTGCTTGATTGACATGAAGCTTCTTGTATGGAAAGGAGTTGTAGAAAGAAAGGCAACTCAATGATATTAGCGCTGCACGGATGCTGGAAAAATAAACTCTTATCACTGGTTTCCTTGCCTGATAAAGGTAAAATGGAAAGAAAACATACTGAACTCAATGCAACTATAAATATAAAGAAAAGCTTCAGACAGTATACGTACAACAGCAGGGCTAATGGAGGAAAATGACTGTTCCACTGTAACATGATGGAAATGTAAAGATGTAAGAGGGGCCAAAGTCCTGTGATTTACTTTCAAGGCTGGGAGCATGGATTACCATTAGCTGTGGAGGGATCATTTGTTGACACTATAGAGGGATTTATGCCTGTAAGGTTTAATTCCTGGCAGCAATTTGACGTAATTTTGCTTTCATATTTTATGTAGGAAATTATTATATGGTGAAAAATGAAAGGTCATGATTAAACTTGTTTTTGCAAGACCTCTTAATTTCAGTTGGATTCAATTCCTTATCAATGCTTTTCATTGGGATTGTGAAGAGACCGGACATGAGAACTGACGATTTGTACCATCAGAATTCCAAGCTGCTGTAAGTAACAGGATCATTTAATTTACAAGATGATTTGCAAATATTTTCATTGTATTGGAATATAACCACGCCATAGACAATTCAGACAAGTGAATGAAAAATCCATGCACAACGACATGACCAAATTTTGCACGGGGAAAATATTTACCACACTTTTTTGTTGTTATGTGTAGGTGTATCTGGCTTCTGCAATTTGTGAAGGAAGAAAGAACAATCGCATTATAGTGTTTTTTATTTACAAGAAAAGGCCAAATTTACCAGATTATTGATGCTAAGGGATGACAAATGATGGTTGATGAGACCATGCAAGGCCTCCTTTGAGGAAAACCCTCCAAGTCACACGTAGGAGAGAACTTGATGTGATATATCAACAAGAAAACCTTCATCCAACCAGGGACAGGGTGGGTTAGAGAGAGCAGCTCCTCTCCTTTTTTAATTACTTATTTCAAAAATAAGCATTTAACTGCTCATTTTTCAGCCCTGTTTGATGATTAAGTACTTGTTAAAAGTACTTGTTTTACAAGTACTTCTTAGAAATACTTATTTTAACCACTTAAGGTTGTTTGGTAACCCACTTTTCAAATCACTTATTATGTTTTTAAGCACTTATTGGGGTGGAAATGTTTTGGTAAACTACTTTCCCCATAAGTGCTTATATTGACATAAATGACAATTTTAACCCTCACTTCACTCGTACATGTATACAATGCTTTTCACATGTTATACTATACATTTCAACTGGGAGCTGGAAGCCCACGTGGACCCACACGTGAATTGCCATGTGGACTCAAATAATAATAATAATAATAATAAATAATAATTATTTGGCATTTCACCGAAACCCTAAACTAATAGATTAATCAATCGATCGTGATTGATTCACTGATTCGTCGCTACATCAAGAAAAAAGAAGAGAAAAAGACCCAAAGGGAAATGATTGTCAATAACTTTTGAATGCTAAGCTTAAAAAACAAAGGGCAACAAAAGAATAATTAATTACCTTTTCTAATTCAATTAGAAGCTGGTAACTTTCCATAATCAATTCTAGAGACGTTCCATCTTTGAGGATCTGAAATATTGCACTCAACATTTTGCTGCTCCACCAATTTTGCAAAAGCAATGAATTACATTGACAAGGAGAACAACCAAAGTAGCAGTTTGGAATGTATGGAAAGATGCAATTCAAGAAATGCTGAATGAAAGATGACAAAACAAATCAAAATAATGAATGATAAGAATTTCTCCTAGTTGCCCAGAAATAACACAGAAGCTTCTCAGACAAATCCATGGGAAAATGAAGGAAAATATCTCGACCCTCTTAATTGCACAAGTGACAGTGCTATGACCATTGAGGGATTTCAATATGAACAATATGTAACACTGTTATTCCTATCAACAATATTAAACTATTTCCCGAACAAAAGAAACAGAGAATCGAGAAGAACAAATATATGGTTATGAATGTCCAACAAGAAAAACCCGTAAATCACAGTTTGATGCCACAGGGACAGAAATGTAGAAAACCAAGACACAAACACAAACGATCGACATTTACATACCTGGTTGGAGCAGTTCCAATTTCTGGAACGATCGAAGAAGCGCGAACAGCATCAAGAAATGCCAATCCTGTTTTCCAGTAAAAAGAAAGACAAGAATAAGAAGAAAGCATAGGAACCAAAAGTGGAAGAATAAGAGTTAGAGGAGTACTATCATCATTAACGTCTCGGGCGTCCTTAAATCCGGAGGAGTCGAGGATAGCTAATGTATTCTCTTCGATTCCTCTATTACTTCTTCGGGAGTTCTCCATTGATCTCACACGAAACCCTAGTTCACTTCTTGCACTTGCCGCCCGCCTCGACACGTAGGCCAAGATGGCCACCATCAGCAATTCCATGGCATCGATTGTTAAATCCTTTGAGTCGTCTCTCGCGACCTGGAATCTCCGGAAGATGTCGGAAATAATGGACAAGTTCGAGAAACAATTGACATAGAAGAAAGAGGCCAAACGACAGGTCTGCCGTTCATTGTTCCTCACCGCCAATAGTCACCGGTTGGGGTATTTTAGATATTATACAAAATTATCAGGAACTGATTCGTCTCAAAAAGGAATTATTTAAAAAAGCGCCAATTTGAAGTCATTTTTTTAAAGAAGTCCCACTTTTTTACGAAACACCCGTCAAACACTATCTTCACCAAATACAAATAAATGCTTATTTACCACTTATTGTAAGTACTTATTCAAATAAAAAGAACTACAAAAGAAAAATCATATATTTCTTATTGCTTGTTTAAAAAGTAGGACCCAAAACCTAGCTTATGGATTTGACTATGATACTAGAATTCTAGAAAGAATTAACCAATGGACTAGTATCACAAGGTAACCAACCAATCAGGAAATTCACCAGGGGAGGGAGTTTAAGTGGTCAAAGCCCTTTCGATGTTAGGGGTGCAACTTGGGCTTGAGTTGGGCTTTTGTGAAAATATGAAAGGATCTGTCTCGAAGGCCCAAACCCCAAAGCAGTGTAAACTGCCAACTTGAACCAACCTGAGTTACACCCTATGTATTGCAGTGCAAACTGAAATGCACCAAAGCTGGTGCATTCCTACCAGAGTTGGGATCTCTTCCCAACAATAATAACTGTCCCAACATGAATTCAACATGGTCTGTGTCCACACATCTCTCTATAAGAAAGGAACCCGTCATGTACGAGATATACATATACAGTTGTAGACAGACAGATCATGTTGAGAAGTGTTGGAACATTTCTTTTTCTTTTTGTTGGGAGAAGATCTAGTCTCTTCCCACCATGACACATGCCCATAGTCTACACGCAGACAAGGTGTTTTGAGACTTTTAAAATCTATTTTTTATTTTTTATACATATTTAAACTCAAGAGTGAGGACAATTTTAAATATTAGGTAAATTACAAAGACCTCCTGTACTACGGGGTTAGTGATGACAGTTACCCCTTTGATTATGGGGTCAGTGAAATAATTCTTGTTATTTTTAGCTAATTTTATTTAGAGAAAATAAAGATATTTTGGGGTCAATTAGGGTTTAAGAGAAAAATATAAAGAAAAAAAAAAGAAAGGAAGTTTAGGGGATAATTATCACTGACCTCATAATACAGGGTGATCTTTGTAGCAAATGAAAGTTAAGGGGGTAGTTGTCACTGACCCCACAGTATCGGGGTCTTTATAATTTACCCTAAATATTATTTAATATTTAAAAACATGAGATTTGGGAAAATCCTTAAAAACGATGCCCCGCCACCCAATATCATACTGATACTTTGAACATTGCCCTTAATCTGCAAAACTGGTAAATGTCAGAGCCTTACTTATGAGAAAGATGTCAAAATAAATACTAGTATTTATTTGAAATTGTAACGGCCCTCAAACAGACATTTGAAATTGTGGAAGTACTAACCATAGGCAAATGTATAGTGTGTTCAAATAAAAAGATCGCAATTTCAAACTGGGCACATTGGTTATTTTCCAACAAAATTTGTGGCACTTAACAAAGCGTCTAATAAATCTGAAACATTCATCAAGGCAGCAAAAATGTTGAAACAATTATTTGGACAAGACAATAAATCAAGTGATTGATATCTACACTACACCACAAGTAGTCACCTCATAATCAGCTGTACATGCAACTAACACGGAGGGAGGATATTGAGATCATCACAATTGCTGTTCCAGATATGGGTCTCTTTCTCCCTCTCCCAAATATCCCGTGACACTCTCCGAAACAACTGAAACCAAATTATTCAACCATGAGGTGCTACGCTTCAGCCATTTAGTCTGAGATTCTTCATTATTTTGTTCTAACATACTCTTCTGTTCTTCCTCCAGGAGGATGTCAAGCCACCTCTTTGCCATGAATTCCTTGACAGCTTCAACCCCTCCAGACACAACCTCCATCGGAGGAATGACAAGTGGGTTTTGGTCCAAGTTCAGCTTGGTTAGCTTCTCCAGCCGACCAAATGTATCTGGGAGGGCATGGATCTGGTTGTTGCTAATGTCAAATTCCTTGAGATTTGTCAGATCACCAATTGTGTCAGGAAGCTCTGTCAAGTCACTAAAGTTTCTGCTTAAATTCAGGATTTCGAGATTTGTCAACTTCCCAATTGAATGTGGCAGACCACTGAGCTCATTGAAGTGGACATCCAAATAACTCAAAGACCTCATCTCACAAATGGAAGTTGGAAGGGAACGGATCTTATTGAGGTGGACCAAGAGCCTCCTTAGATTCAGTAACTCATGCCCAATGTTTGTTGGCAAATATGTTAGATTGTTGAAGCTTGCATCAAGTTCTACCAATGATCTGGACCAAAATACTCCCTAGATGAGAGACAATTTCTAAAGAGTTCCGAATCTTCTGATAACAGTGGTTCAGAATAAGAGAGCATGTCTCCAGATGACAAAGAAAATAATGAATTACCTGCAATGGCAAATGCTATCAGGTAAGGACTCGAGCTTGTTTCCTGATGCATCTAGGACCTTCAAGTTAAGTAGCAAACCAATGGAGTCTGGCAGGGACTCCAGAAGGTTGGAAGAAAGATTAAGCTCCACCAGATTTTCTAACCCAGCTATAGAATCAGGAATAACCTGCTTATACCCCAGGTAACCAAAACAAAAAAAAAAAGGAGAAAAAGTGAGATGTTCCAACCAAGTAATTATCAACAATCTAAAAAACAGACAAAGATCAGCAGAAAAAAAGGAAGTCATTACCATCTATATTCAATGAAATGATCAGTTAGAAAACCATATACAGAAAAAACTGTTATAAAAAAAATAATTTGTTACAAGTTTAAGGGGAGAGAGAGCTAGGGGGAGACTGAAAAGGACTTGGATGGAAGTAATAAGAAATGATTTAAGTACCCATAATTTAATAATGGATATGACACCAAACAAAAGTACAAAACGGAATGGCAAAAAGAAAATTCATGTACCCATGTAGTTGGGACAATGCTTAGATGATGATGATAATTCAATAAAAATAACATGGATCCATCTCAAATGATCCAAAAACTTAAATTGCAATTGGGTGTCAATTGTCAACTGGGCAACCTCCGCAAGGGGAATCGAAATTCTGCATTGTCTTTCATGGTATATTCGCCACATATGATATCTGAATACCTTTACATGCCTAGAATACTGATTTTGGACACAACCTATAGCTAGGGGTGGATGCGAACCGAGTTTTTCATGAGCTACTTGAGCTCTGCTCGGTCCAGACTGAGCTTCGAACTGAATTCGAGCTGGAATGCCGAGCTCATTTACTAGTCGAGCTGAGTTCGAATATTATGCAATTCGGTTCGTTAGGCTCGCGAGCCTATTCAAACCCTGTATATATATAATTTTTATATTTTATATATAATATTTGTATATAATTATATAATTTATATTTAAATTTATTGGTGTACATAATATTGTGGTCCCTATTGTATTTTATATTTTCTTACATTATCTAATGCCTAGGATGGGAGGGAAAGGAAAAATCCTCGATTGAATCTTGAAGACTTGAACTGCTGAACTCAAACTGGTTTGAGACGAAACTGCAAGTCTGCAACTGTGAGAAACGAGTAGAGAGCAAGTGCGAGTGTGCAACAAGTGAAGACGCCGTCGTCGAAGAGGACTGATTACCTACTGTCTACGACTCTAGGTCTTCTTCTTCTTCTTCTTTCGGATTTTCTTATGGCTTCTACAGGGACTTTGTGATTTTGGTTTGTCTTGCAAGTTGCATCCATGCCATTAAAAAAGGTATTTGAAATCTGTAATTTTTAGTTGAAGAATAATAACATTTATTCTGATTTTCTACAAGTCATTTTTTTAATTAGAAATGAGAATAGTTCCAATTTTTTTCAAGAATAATAACATTCATTCGGAAATTCGAGCTTGGATAGGCTTGGATTCGAGTTCAAGTAGGCTCGATTCATTTCAAGCTCGAACCGAACCGAGCTCGAGTATAAATGTTTTTTTTCGAGCCGAATTCGAACTGATATTTTTAGTTCGAATCGAGCTCGAACCCGAATTCGAGCTTGATGTTTTATTGTCGAGCTGAGTTCGAATAGTCAAATATTCGGCTCGACTTGGCTTATATCCACCCCTACCTATAGCTAATATAGCATGGGATACTGCATCGGCACTTCCAGATATAGCATTAACAGTTTTAAAATATTAAATATGTAAAATGGTATGTTTTAACAAATTATACCATAAAAATTGTGTATGTTAGAAATTTAATTAAATTTGGCAGAACATAAGCCTTCAGAAATGACAGTTTACCTTCAAAAGTAGAAGTAAAAGCATGATATAAGCTATCTATGTTTGGGTATCGTATTAGACTGTAGAAATTTCCCTTAACATGCAGGGTGAGTCTGCACCTGAACAAAATCAGTGATATTATGGAACAAATTTGATTTTAAAACAGATAACTAAAACATAAGCTCACAGGCTAAAATAGCAATAAGCCATTTTAGGCACTGCTATTGTGTAATCTAGAAATAGTAAAAACGTTTGCATTGTATTGAAACTAGAACAACATGATTCAACAGAACTCTTATTGTAGAATGAGCGGAAGTCAAATCAGCAGATCTGCCAAAACAATACTATAATTGGACAGAATAGCAATTCATTTTGCATGCTGTACTTGAGAATGAAGGTTCAAGTCTGAAAGTTTGTGCAAGAAAAGTCCAAAAGTTAGGTCTGTATCCACGCTCCAGATAGCTGATACCATCATTGGTTAACATCCCTTTTTAGTATAAAATATCAATTTATCAATTACATGCATCACAAATTCCTTTCTCTACAGGGAAGGGAAATGAAGAGCTCTCTTCCTAGAAAAGTAATTGTCAGAATCCTTGAGCTTCTGACAGACACAGTTAACCGCATGAACTTGCTGTATTTTTTAATTGATTAAACCTATTCTAAATCCCCTCAGCATGCTTGAGCGTATATAATGTTTTCCAAATGCTCTCTATGCGGTTGGATGTCCATTGAATTATTGTATAGCACTGTTACTCCCCTGGGCATTGGCTCAGCGCAAAGTTGTTTGAAGTTTTCCCAAGGAAAAATGCTATCAAAACTTTAGCCGCTCAAGGAAATATATATATATATATATATATATATATATATTTTTTCTTTTTAACATTAAGGGGTGTTCTTTTTTCAGATTTTGAGAGGGGGATAGTTGGTCAATAGGATTTTGGTTTCTATTGACCAAGAATCTCATGTTCTTTTTTTAGTTTTATGCGAGGACCAGGGAAAGTTTATTTTTCTACGCGAGTAAATAATACACATCTCCTAGGTGGGTAAATAACTTTCCCACTTAAGGGAAAAGTTGTCAACACTTAAGTGGGGCAAAAATGTCTCTTATAATAATAGATTTTTATGGTTAAAATGGTCATTGACTTATTTACATGAGAAACAAAAGAATATGGGTAAATGTAATTACCTGGATAAGTGTTTTCCAGGAAAAACCTACTCTAGTAACTGCATTTACCCGGGTAAGTAACTTACCGAAAAGCTAACAGGGCCTAAACTTAAAAGGGGATATCAATGTTAATCTATAATACTTGATATAATAATAGGAGAGAGTCGACATCCCCAAAATAGTTATAGAAATGAAGCAGGAAATCATAATATCAAACTTAATATTATTCCACAGAAAATAAAAAGATACGTTTCACAGAGCGTCAGAGCAATTGAGGAAGATAATACCCCAACTCTCATGTAAACCATAATCACTTCTAATTTCTACTGAGCTTTAATTGAGCCTTAATATCTTATTTCACATCTAAAGATGGGGAAGGGGACAATGAAGTGGCTTTGGGAATATTAATAACTAAAAACACCAAAGGTTAGCCCCCAACGGCAAAAGGCAAAAGTAGAATTCGAGAGAGCTTGTTTAGATGGCCAGTTTGGTGCAAGCCATCTCTTCCCACACATTAAAAGCCTAAAGGGCCACAACCACAAATCCATAAAGTAAATAGCCTTGAGAATCTCTTTTACAGAAATATGTAGGGTGGAATAGTCTCTGCATCCGTTACTGAGCATTCTTTACTATTGGTTCTAGTCAACACTCAGCAGTAATTAGGAGCAGGATGCACGTGAGGGCCCAGTGGTCGTAACATTGGGAGCCGATAAGTACAGATCAGAACATCAAATGTAGGAATGTTTTAATTCCATTGACCCAGTAGTTGAGAACTTGAGATGGACACTCGCGTCACTCCAAGAAAGAAGGTGCAGGATCAAACCTGAGGAACACTGTCACTGGAATGGCCAGTGGGTCTCCTTGGCTCCCTGCTATGACCCCACCCCCAATTCCCCATTAAGGTCTACTTATGTAATATCAAAAGAAGAAATACTAAAACCCTTCAATAATCCACCGCCTTCTGAAAGATGTGGTGTGGATAAAAGAATGTCATCAAATTTCCTTCTTTGTGCTCACCATTCCTCGAGGTCTAATCATGCCATGTTAACCTCTCGTCCATGTGATAGAAAATTAAAAAAGAGTTCAATCGTTTGTTCACGTCACGATCTTATTGAAAGATTATATTTACATCAGAACCAGCAAGACTAAAGAGATAATAATAAGTTTTCAATAAGTGCAATACAGTGGGCAAAGAATAACAGGAAACGATAGTACAGATCACCAAATTTCCCCATCGTGAATTCGTGATAAATAACAAGAGAAGAGAAAAGTGTTTCTATTGGATTTTTCATAAACTAGACAAATGACAATATCTGTGTAGAGCAACTATAGCAAAGTATCATCTGTGCCTAGATCGCTACTTTTTTTTCTTTGATTTTCTCTGTTTTTATTTGTAAATACTGCAAAATAATTAAATTCCAGAGTTTCAGAAAGGAGAAAGAGGTATAAGGATAATTATAGAGAAACTAACCTCGAGCTGATTAGTTGAGAGATTGAGCACAACTAAGCCACGAAGCTTCCCGAATGCCTCAGGAAGAAACCTCAGTTGGCGCTCGGGAAGCTCCACCCTCTGCAACCCCTTCCCAGGCGCCTGTTGCAAGATCCCAACAACTTCCTCACAGACTTCTTCTCTGGCCGGCGGTATAGAGTCGTCCAGCTGCCCGTCTATCGTTGCGGCGGAATCATAAATTTTCACCAACCTTTCCTCGGCGTCCCTCAAAAGTTTCTCGTAGGCTTCGTGCATTTCGTCCAATTGCACCACAGCCTTGCAAATGTGCTTCTCCTTCTCCGCCGCCTCTCGAAATTTCTTCTCCTTCTCCGCCTGCTGAGCCCGCCATTGTAACCGATCGACACCTTCGGGACGAGGTGCCAAGACAATCTCTTCGAGCTGCTTCGACAACCTAGCATCAATGTCGGCGATCTTGGCTCGGCAGGTATCGACGTCCTCGTGATGGGGACGGTCTCCGAGGGTCTGGAGGACGGTTCGGGCCTCAGCAACGTTGGAAACGGCTAGGGTCATAGAGGCGAGGACCTTTGGGTGTTTCAGATAGGGCATCCGGTCTATCAACACACCGTCCATATGGTACGAGCTTGAGTCATCAGACGGTAGAGGGGGCTGCTCGACGTCGATCTTGAGCGAGTCGGAATTAGTAGCAGGTTTAGTTTCGAACAGAGGAAGGTTAGAATTGATTTGGGATATGACATAGGAGAGAATCGGGAAATTTTCAGGGTTGGGATCCATTGTTCTGTGATTGACGAGATTACAGCAGCAATAACAAAAACAGCAGAGAGGTATGAGACTGAAAGCGAAGAAAGGATTAGATCGTGGATGTGTGTGTGTGTGTGTGAGAGAGAGAGAGAATCAAATGGAATGAAAGCGAAGAAAAGTTCTAAGCAGGAGCAGAAGCCGGGAAGGAGTGAAGACTGAAATAAAATCAAGCAACCGCTTGGACGCAACAACGTGATTGCAAGCGGGGGAAGAGAGAAAACCGTTAGACGTAATCGTAGTTCTAGTTACATGAACAACCAAAATAAATCTGATGTTCTATCCTAGGCTCTATAATATTCTAAAGTACCACTACTTCTTAACACTTGATTTGGACGGAGTCCAACCCAAAACCGATTCATTGACACCCCTATTATACCTCGAACCCGACCTAACCCAATCTCAAAAAAACAGGGTTAGGGTCTCATATTTAACTACATAAATGAGAAAATGAACTGACCAGACCCGACCCGAAAAACTGAGATGCATTGGATTGAGTCATGGGTCAATTCGCTGACCCAATTGTCAGGTCTAATTTGGGACTATTTATGCATTTTTAGAAGTTTCAACTCTATAATTTTTTCTATTTAATCTTTACTCTTCATTGTTTACTCTTTGAATTGTTAAATGTTCAAGTTTTTTTATTTATTTTATATTTGGAATTTAAAGGTTAATTCCTTTAATTTTGGCATTTTTCATGTATTTTTCTTTATATTTTTAAATTTCCGTTATTTTTGGATGACCCGAATTGACCCATGGGTCAACTCTAACCCGGACATTTAGGGTTAGGGTCTAGCATTTGACAATTTAACCTGAAATTCAACCCGGCCTGAAATCAACACGAAGTGTCTTGACCCAACATGAACCCGACCCACCCAACCCAATTGCCAGGTCCAACCCCTACACATAATCAATCCCCACATGCACATATAATCAATCCCCACATGCTTAGGGCTTATATGATGGTGCTGATTTTTTATTGGGAAAATTATAGTCAAGCTAGTTCAACATTTAAAATGACACTCCATGTGGTTCAAAAACCAACAAAATTTTGATAGTCAGTTGTACATTTCAAATTATAAAAACCTTTTTACGTCATTGGAGAGGCTCATGTGGTTGTTGTCAACATGGGATTCTTAATCCATGTTGGACGCAACATGGATTATTTGAAAAAAAAAGGTTTTTACTTTCTCTCCCACTCCCACTATCTTTCGATCTCCTTCCCACTCTCTCACTCTGACAGTTGTCTCTCCCTGCTCAACGACTGTGTGATTTGAGAATAGGGTTTTACATTCTCTCAATCAATTTCTTTTGTTCTTTCCCTCTCTGTCAATCTACCCTTCTCCCTCAATCTCTCTCGGTTGATCTCTCTTTCTCCCTCATTCTCTCTCTTGGTTGATTTCCCCTTCTCCCTTTGATGAGGGGTAATTTGGCACGACCTAGTAAGTAAAGGTCACGTGGACGCGATCTGTCCATAGAATGATAACTCAGCAAGGGGAGCCTAGTAAGTAAAGGTCAGTGGAGGCGGGCACGTGGCCAAACATTGTCCGGTTCGAGCACACATTCTTGGTGGTCACGACTCCATCTTCCTACAACGCAATAATAGGTCGACCTATTATGCATGTATGGTCGCTCACCTGCCAAAAGAAGAAAACAAGCATCATTATGTAAAAAAATCTAAGTATGGGGCAACTTGAAGGCTAAGTTTAAGTACGTACCACCATACAATGTGTGGCTACTCGGGCCCTGAGCTGAGCAACCAACAAGTCAGCCCAACGAGCGACCTCGGCGAACACTGCATCCTTGCCCTTGAGAAGGCCAAACTTCGGAGTCAAAATGCTCCAGACCGAAGTATCGCTGCCCGAAGAGGTGGCAGTCGTTGGAACGGGCTCTGAAGACGTGGTCTCCTCGGGTACAAGGGGTGGAGTGGCCTTGCCCGGGTCCTCAACCAAATAAATTATGGGAGGCTGTTTGACGACGGGTGTGTGTTCGGGTGCAGAGGCGGCGACCTCGGTGGTGGTAGTTTTAGTATGGAGGTGAGCCTTCTTGGAGGCCCTCTTCTTCTTCTTCCCCTTTTGCATTATCCCAAAGAGCTCATCAGTAGGGATGTCATCCATGGCAACTGCCGCAAGTAACGAACTAAGTCAGATACAACACCGAAGTAAAATAGATGGAAAAAAGTACAACAAGTAGCAACCTACCAGGAGGGCTTAGGCTGGCTTACATGAGTTTCTCCTCAGTCACAGAGTTTTCGAACTTCAAGCCGAGCTGCGCCAAAGATCGGACCTCCTCCCTTGTCTTCGAGACCAGTCTGATGCCAGGGTCCTGGATGGCTGCCCTCCAGTGAGTTGGGAAAGGCCACCCATTGGTGTTGTGGACCACGAATTAGTGCCTCTTTTAGGCCGGGACCTTGTTAGGGAGCTCGTGCAACAACTTGTACCCGGGGTGAGGAGACAAGTAGTAACTTCACCTGTGCTTGGGTAGAACACAGAACGAGTTCTTCTTGATGGAAAGGATCGAAGAGAAGATGTTGAGGTCTAGGGGACGGTTGTAATCGTGGTAAAGGGAAATGGTACCTACGATATTACGGATGGAGTTCGGGTGTAGCTGGTCTATAGCAATGTCAAAGAATTTAACGACTTCAACTATAAAAGGGTGGAGTGGAAGACACAGACTGGCTACGAGCTACTCTTTGAAGACCACGATCTCGTTGTGACCATGATCCCAAGGAAAGTTGCCTAAGGGAATGCTATATATGAAGTCGTTGGGAAGTTTGTACCGAGCTACTAAGGATAGGAGCCTATCTGTTGTCATTATTGACGGGCCGAAGCTGTCTGGCAAGCGACCTCGGTGTGAAGTGGAGGCCGGTTTGCCAGAAGTTTCTTGCCCTCGTCGAGGTGAGTCTGCTTCGGACAGATTGGGGTCCACATTCTGTGCCGAAGTGCCCACCTCGGTAGGATGAGGCTCCGCGGTCTGTGCCGAGGTGCCCACCTCGGCCCCAGCGGACTCACCGCTCCCATCTAGAAGACTATCTAAGCTAAGGCTAGACATGCTAACGGAAAGGACAATGGAATAAAAAAGCAAGGGGAGACAGACTCACCAAAAGAAGACCGAAGAAAGCGAGACGACCTCGGACCCAAAAATAGCTGACACCTAACTGGGATAGTTGAACGTGACCTCAAGGATTTTGGATTCGCAGATTTGTGGCGAAGAAAATGGGCCCTTTGGCCCCTATTTATAACTAGTATATCCGAAAATCAACGGTCAAATGGATCTCATCCACTTAGGTCGTAGATCCCGGAACCGTTTCGGAAGATCCATGATAGCTCAACTATATAAGGGCATCAATCCCTCCAGGGTCCAGGTACGCGCGATTACTTACATTCAAGCTCTCTAGCACTCAAACTTTAGCTTGCAACCACAACAAGAATACTGACTTAAGCACCGAAGCAACCTTCCCGGGTCATCCACCCCAGTCACTTTGATCCCTGTTTTGCAGTTTGGTCCATCTCACCATGTGAGTACGCCTAAGAAATCCTCCAACTAGGAGCTCCCAGATCGTGCATCATCACCTTCCTCTCTCTTAGTTGATCTCTCATTCTCCCTCAATCTTTATCGTTCTCTCTCAGTTTCTTTCCCGCTCCCTCTCTTGTTATTTTTTATTAAGGAAATTGTCCAAAACTCACCATGAGTTTTCAACATTTCTCTTAAACTCACCACAACTTTTCAAAATGTCTAAAACTCACCATATTACTAACTTGGCGTTAAACATATTAATGGGTGTTAATATATTACCATTTTAACCTTCATAGAAAATATAAAATATATACAAAATAAATTAATGGGTGTTACCATTTTAATATTTAGACATGAAAAAAGGAAAATTTATAAAAAATTCAAACACAATAAAAAATTATTTTCAAACTATAGAAACTATAACAATTGAAAAACAAAATAAGAAAATAAAAAATGTAGAAAAACACAAAAAATTTTAGAAAAACACAGAAATTACAAATAAATAACAAAAAATACAGGAAAATTTATAGATTGTAGAAAATAGAAAATGTAAACAAACAAAAATTATAAAAAACATTGGAAATTATAACAAAATACTAAAAATGCAAAAAGAAAAAAACAAGAAAATTGAAAACTAAAAAAGACCATTTTTCCTGTAACTCAACATTCAAGGGTAATTTGGTCATGGAAATTGTTATTTATGCTGACATAGACACCTCTAGACCTGTTCATGGGCCGGGCTTCGGGCTTGACTTATACTATGTTGGGCTCGGGCTTCGGGTTGGGCTCCATTCAAAATTTGGCAAAAGAAGGCCCGAGCCCGGTCCATGAATTGGTCTAGACACCTCTATTAAGAAGCATTAACGATGCACTAACAGAAGGTGAGTTTTGGAAAATAAAAATTTATTGACATGGTGAGTTTTAGACATTTTAAAAAGTTGCGGTGAGTTTAAGGAAAATGTTAAAATCTGATGGTGAGTTTTAGAAAATTTCCCTTTTTATTATTTTTCTTATACACTTATACAGTATTAACCAGATCGTATTAAAGAACATAAGACCAACTTGGTATGGTTCTAACTCCATCAGTCCAATTTGATAAAAATTCACAAGAAAGTCTTGACTATGAAGTTTACACTAACTTGATAGAAATTTATAACTTGATGATGCAAATTGTTGGTCCCTTGACTAACTTATAATTTGTATGGTTCAATTAATACTATATAAGTTTCTATGAAAAAAAAATGAGGGAGGGAGCGGGAGAAAGATTGAGGGAGAATGAGAGATCTAGAGAGATCTAGAGAGAGAAACAAAGATTTTGATTTGGCTGTAGACCAAAGATGAGAGAGTAGGAGAGAAAAGGGAGTGGGAGATCGATAGGTAGAGGGAGTGGGAGAGACAAGGGGAGCGGGAGATCGAGAGATAGATGTTTTGATTTTTGGTATAATTTTTTTGTTGTGTCTAGATGGATTAAGAGTCCTATGTTGGCAACATCCACATAAACCTTCATTGATATGGCGGGGGGTTTTTATAATTTGAAATGTACAAACAACCGGCTATAATTTTCCCTTTTTTTTTTTCTATTAATGATGTTTAGACCTTTTTTATGGTTACGCATTATAGGATAATGTGAGCTTCCATGGTTACGCATGTCCATAAGCATTGCTATCAATGGGTCGGGTCTGATCTAGGTCAAGTAGATCCGTCCTATATATATATATATGTATATTTGTGTGTGTGTGTTATTCCTTTAGATATTATGTTAACATACATATAAATAATATAAATTATATATAATCAACCCAAAACAACCAAAACCAATCCGAATACAATTATAAACGAGAATTTGGGACAAAATATCAAAAATCATAACCGAGCCAATTATAATCAGTAGTTCAGTACATACATTGTTTGAATTCAGTTTTGGGTTTGCTTGACCCATTGACAGTCCTACTTGGAAGGAGGCCTTCGTGGAAGGAGCAAGGTTTATGCTATGTTTGGTGAATAAGAGGTTGTTCAAAGAAGTACTTGTTGCACAAGTACTTTTTAGAAGTGTTTCTTTTAACAACCATTTAAGGTTGTTTGGTGATCCACTTGCCAAATCACTTATTATGTTTTTAAGCATTTATTGAGTGGAGATGTTTGATGAACAACTTTTCCCACAAATGTTTATATTAACATAAATGACATTTTTAGCCCTCACTTAACCTAAAAGTAAATCTGTGAATACAGAAAATGAGAGTTTTAGACTTAAAAAAAACTCAAGAATTTCAAATCAAAGAAAAACTTCACAAAAGCACAGAAAAGGGCAAAACAAACAGGTCAACCAGTCGTTTTTCCTCATTGTTGATCGCCATCAGTGGACCTACAACTGAAGACGCGGCTCCCTGCTTTGTTGTGTTTGAATGGGAGGAAAGGGAATAAAACCCTCGTGTGGGGGATTTTAAGTATTAAAAAAATTAACGGGGGCTGATCCATCATCACATTTGATTGGAAGAAGCACTTCTATAATAAGTGCTGAAAAAAAACGTTAAGATAAATATTTTAAGAAATGCTTCTTTAAAAAAAAAATATATACTTCCTCACTATTTTAGCAAACACATATAATCAGCATGTAACAGAAACGGCCAAGCATTTTTCGGGGGAGGGGTTGGGAGTAGCCGAGTGGGACTGCCCGACTGGGGAAGCCAGCAGAGAAACGAGAAGGTGAGTGAGAGAAGAGATGTTACAGTTTCCGGCGTTCATGACACAATACCCGGTGGCTACAAGCATGATCCCATCCTCCGTTCTTCTGCCATCACAATGGCCCCATCCGCAAAGCGACGAAATCCTCTTAGCGATGGAGGAGTCTGATCTCGAAGACAAGGTTAATTCTCTTGCCAATTTTTCTTTTTAAATTATTGGTATTTCACCGTTCTAGGGCTAACTTTCGGACAAGAATCCAACACCTCTTTCTCTGTTTTAGTGCTGTTGTGCGAAATTAGGGATCCGATTGTCATATAAGAGGTTCAATTGCATCGTTGTCACTCTATTTTAAGTTGTGCTTTCCTTGGCGTTTCAGCAGGCACCCTGACTGCTATTTTTCTTTTCTTTTCCATTTTTTTCTTGAACTTTGAAGATCACTTTATCTCTGTCATTTGTCTAACTGGAATGGAATTAATTAATAATATTCTGAGTTAAATCAATTCCATCAAGTTGGTTGCGATTTCTAAGTCAGAAAATACCATGACCCGCAACGATCATGCCTCTCTTTCCTTCTAAAAATAGAATACTCGCCAAACAGTGGTATACTGGTATCTATCTCCAAAGATCTCCTTCGAGTGGAAGCTTGAAGATATATTATATCTACCCTTTTCAGTCATGTTGCTGAAATACATAGTGTGCCTTGCCCCGTCTGATACACCTCAATCCTTCATCAGTTGTAGCCTTATAGGTTAGTAGCCTGCGTGATTAGCTTCTTGTCTCACTCCTACATTTTATTTTTTCATTTTCTGTCCTTCAAAGCATTGAATCTGTCAAATATGGGTGATTTTAATTTTGTTGTTTTTTTTGCTAATGTGGCATCTGTTTTTGTTTTAAAAAATAATAAATAATGGATATTAGTGAACACCCTCTAAATTTCTACGACCTCAGAATATCCTTGATTAGAAAAAGTTTAATTTAATGAAGTTAGCAGAAGTTAACTGCCACCACCACAAAAAATGGATACCATTGTCCGTAGCATATTCCCATTTGAATTGCTTAAAGATAATAGGATTAGTGGTAAACATTAATAAGCTCCAACTTCTTAGAACCATTGGGCTCCTAGTATCAAAGAGGAGCTCATCAAGGATGTGATATTTTCTCCACTTACATACTCGTGAGGAAGTGTGATACTTTATTACATTTCCAGGTGTTTATGTACAGTTGGGGTTGCAAGTAGACAAAATAGAAAGCTTATCTAGTTCAATTTACAGAATCTAGAACTGTATTAATTATTATCTAAGAAGAATGTTTGTTGCCTCCAAATAAAATTTTATGTTAACACTTACATCACTGTGGACCTGGTGACAACTGGAGATCATTTATTGTGCCTAGCGATGACTGTGATCCAATTTCAAAAGTTTGATCATGTGGAGAAGTAAGATGAAACAATGTACATCTATAGCTTGTTTATATAAGTGAAAGATATTTCTGGCAACCTAGTGAGACAAGTAGGATGTAAGCCATTTTATTTCCTGTCACATATGCTATGGGAAGGCGCCAATTGCATTTAGTTGCATTTTGGGATAAATTTATCAGTATATCAAAACATTGATGCGAAACTACTCTTGTTACTGGAAAGATGGTGTCATTAGTTTCCACACACACACACACATGCTATAGGAAGGCGCCAATTGCATTTAGTTGCATTTTGAGATAAATTTATCAGTATATCAAAACATTGATGAGAAACTACTATTGTTACTGGAAAGATGGTGTCATTAATTTCCACACACAACACACACACACACACACATGCTATAGGAAGGCGCCAATCACATTTAGTTGCATTTTGAGATAAATTTATCAGTATATCAAAACATTGATGAGAAACTACTCTTGTTACTGGAAAGATGGTGCCATTAGTTTCCACACACACACACACACACACACTATAATTCCTGGACTCTGGCATGAGGAGTCGTTTAGGAGATCTTCTGGTCAAGAGGATCCATTAACTTGAGATGAAGTGAAATTTTTTTATTTAGTTGTTGAGTTGAACTGATGGCAGATAGCAATGATTGTTTCATTCAACATGCATATTTTTTTTTGAACTTCCAATTGATTTACATGTTTTATTAATGGGATTTTTTTTTGATGTATTGAGTAATAAGGTTTGCTTGAGGGCCCCTTATCCTTCTTCATAGAAGTCTCTGATCAGTGATAGGACAAGATCCATTATTTTTTTTTTAATATCTAAGGAATTCCTTGGTTCAGACTGAAGTAGTGTAACAGGATCATTATGAAACTGTTTGTGATCTTTTTTCTGTTTGCAAGGATCCAACTGGAGCACCTTCTACATTTAATAACAACGCTGCTTCTTTTCTTATGTTATGGAGGTGGGTAGGCCTTTTAATTTCATAGGGAACCACTGGTTCAAGTGATAGCTTCTGAGTTCTTCCCCCTAAAAGAAAAGTAACACACACACACACAATCCAATTTTCATATTTTCAAGTCATGGTTTGCACCATTATGAAAATTTTTGTGGGAACTGCCAGCTGAACTATAAAAGATCTACCAACAAATTATCAAAAGAAAATGTGTTCTTAGTTAAGCCACACTGAAGTCCTTTGTCAGGAATAGAATCTTCATTTAGTTGGGCCGTATTCATGCCCTTTTTCCTGTCTGTTTGTTGGAAGGACTTTAGAAATTAATCTGGTCAATATTCAATTATATGGATCCTCTTTTTTTGTTTTGCAGTACAACGAAATAAAAAAGGCAAATAATAACCTTGTTGTGATTGGGAAAATAACTGTTGACAATGACAAAGAAGACTTGGATAATGATGCGGATGATGATGATGCTGATAATGCAGAGGAGTCAGAAGGTGATGACTTTGAGCAGGAAACTGGTTAAGTGAAGTAGTAACATGGGTTGATCACCATGCAACATCTGAAGTTAATTCTTGTATTTGAGTTACTGATTTTCATTATGCATAGGAATTTCTGTTAAATATTTGCCTTCTTCTTCTTTGCCAAGGCGATATGTGAGGTTTGAAGTTTGAAGAACTGTATTATAATATCCATTTGTGTTAAACTTCTATTGCACCATGGGGAACCTTTACATGAGTAAATATCAGCAGAAATTTCACCATAGTTTGTTATCAGTTATTGCCATAGGCCTAATGAAGGGGCCCGGGTTTCCAAAACAAGAACTAAAAATACAAGAAAGTGTCATTGAAATATTGAAGCTTCAACACCTTATTGTAAGTATTCTTTCTATGAAACCTTGTTTAGACACTTCATCAGCATGCTAAAAGAAAGTGTCATTGTAAGTGTTGAAGTGTTGTCATGTCGACCCGTCATTGTTGCGCTTGCGCCTTCCTTATAACCATGTTTATCACTTCCTATTCCCTTGTTTTCGTTATTTTTCAGGTCCGACTTATGAGCAAATGTAAAAAAAAAAATGATAATCAAGCTATTATTCAACCATTTTACCTAGATATGTCAAGGAAACAACTTGATATGGCATCGGATATGGCATCAATGATTTTACTTGGGGCGTTGACGAGATCACAAGTAGGCTCAAATTGTTTCATGTGGTTGTTATATATCTCTTTGGTTGGAGTTGAGGTCAATTGAGTACGTTCTAAAACCCTATCAAATTGATCTGACACCACACATCTCGTTATGAAACTGAGACCCATTATAAAAGCAGAACGGTAGGGTGTTGGAATGTAATTAATTGGCAGAAGATCTAAATTTCTGTAGGCCTTGATTTTTTATGTTATACCTTGGGATAAGGTGGAAAACATGACTTGAGCATTCCATCCGAAATATGGTGGTGGTGTACACCTCCTTCAGGAATCAGGAGATGCGTCAAATCTTATTTTGGTCAGTTTCAATTCGTGTTAGTAGAGAGACGTATTAGCTATGTAGCATGCTCCAGGAATTCGAACATGTCAAACCTTCATATATTGCACTGGTTTGATTGTGGGCCTCGTCTCGTGGCTGTTTGGATTTTTTTTTTTTTTTTGAAAGATAAACTTAGCTATATTATAATAACGAGACATTTACAAAGTTTTTTACATCTGTTCTCTCGAGGGAGATAAGGCAAAAAGAAGTTATCCTGTCCACCAGATTTCGCTAATTGCGCTACTTTAGGAGATTGTAGCTTCTATTTACAAAACAAAAAGAAATAGAAGAAAAATTGGAGCAAAATCTCTTGGTTTGAAACAAAAGCCCATGGCATGACCAAAATAGACGACTCCGGATCTCCTGCCCATAAGAAATCTATCCAAAACATACTATCCCCGTGCATTAGGAACATTTTCTCATGTATAATACTATGCCGGAGGATGAGAAGTTCTCCATATGTGATATGTGTATGCGATGTTATGTGGGTGAATATAGACAGAGTTCTTGTGGATAGGAGAGAGTGGACTGCTGGTTAACATGTGAATAATCACTTTCTGAGACTCCAAACATACAATAAGATTTGAGGGAGCCAAAAAAGTGACATTTTGAAGTGCCTGCAAAATCACAAATAATTCAGCAGCGTCAACAGAAGAAACAGAATTCATCATTCCTCCGCAAATACCTATACAATCAAGGGTTGGGGAACAAATAACAATACCAAAAGAAAAGGATTGGTTAGAACATTTCCCAGCATCCGTAAAAATGATTAAATCTGATGAGCCACGAATATGTAGCTGGAATTAATTTTGGCAAGGGCTCATTAGCCTGAATCGTAGTGGTAGAAAGTTGCTGTATCTTAAGGAAAAGGAAAATATATATTATTAATTAGTAAAATGGTATGAGGATAGCAAGTCCTATTCCTGAAACATTTTTCGTTACCAGCATACAAGATATAATAGAAAGCAACAGCATCCCAACTTAACACATCAAGTATCAAAGATTTGGTAGCTAAGGAACCAATAAGAGAGTATGGACACAGTCAATCCAAGAGTTATTAAAAAGTGTAAGAAGATTAATATTCCGTGGTGCAGCAAACAGGACTAATCTAGCAAAATCGCATTCAAGGAACAGATGCTTGGCAGTTTCTAACTGTTGATAACAAAAAAACACAGTACTGATCCTGGGGGTCCAGAGAGAGTTGGGTTTTTATAGGGAGATAATTAAAAGTTAATCTCCACAGAAAGAGCTGATGTCTTGGGGGGTATGGGGAGCTTCCATATCCAGCGGATACAGGTTTTGTGTGAGTCAGAAATGTTAGATAATAAAGGTTGTTGTAGGACTGCATAAGCAATTTTCCAAGAGAAAACACCAGTATGACTTGGAAGCCAGATCCATCGCAAAGTACTTTCTGCTGGAAAATTTTGACTATTGCGAATTACCAGGAGTTCCTCAGGTGTAACAGAATTTCCAAGTAAATCTTCATTCCATATACCTGAAGAAATAACTTGATGCAGCTGTAACTGCTTAAGCTGAGGAGAGACCGGTTGGGAAATAAAACGAAAGGAATGATTAGAATAGATCCATGGTACTTGATCCAGAGGTTCAGTGCTATTAGTAGAAACTAGATACCCAGGTTCCATTCTTAAAGTTTTTATTTCTGGGGCAACGGATATCCAAAAGCAGGAACTTGATTTGGAAATAAAATGAGGAAAAATACTCCGATTTTTCAACTATTTGGACTTCCAAATTTGTGGCTGTTTAGATCTGTTTCGTCCCAAAATATGGGGATATGAACTTATATCAAATGAATAAAAAGACTCTAATCCCTCTGTCATTTATTCATTATTTTACAACTGGTTATTCCTTACAGTTTCTATCGTTCTTGTTTCTCCGTAAGTTAAGGAACTCATCTGGTATATATGCTTTACCCACTGCCCATCCTAAACCTCTCGCTGGTCATTATAGATACTTTTTCTCATTATATTGCAGTCTAGTGTTGAGTTAAATACTGCAAAAACATTCATATCTGTCGGGGTCTTTTGCTTTTGGTACGAGGAACAACCATTGATGGTGTCATATGCCAATTTGTATGGCATGACAAAAAAGGTTTTGGTGCATATCTAGTCCTTACATTTTAAGGAGTATAGATAATTGGGAAACAGATTTGCTAGTTTGCATTGATGTGGGAACGGTTTGTGGGTAGATCTGAGCTCGTTTCTTTGATGAAAACCTTGCATACCCATATTCGATACAAGTAGGCTCATTTAGGATTTTTTTTTTTTTTTTTTAATTTATGGTTTGTTTTCCGTCATAAATTTTTATTGGTTTTCTGAATGTGTAATCCCAAATCCCCACCTATGGTACAGAGCTCTTTTCTGTCAAATGTGAATTCCCCCATCGGTCAATGTTCCCAACTGTATAAAACTATAAAATCTTATGAGATGGAGGATTTTTTTTTTTTTTTTCAATACCAATATTGCTTTACAGACTGCATATACAGGTTTGGGGTCTTTCCCGGTTCCCCAAATAAGGCAACTTTTCTTCTAGAATCAACAGCTACAATGTTTTCTTGCTGATTACAAACGCAAGAGAAAAGGATAAAATACTTAAACTACACCTAAGTTTTACAAAATGGTCTTAAAACTTGTCCTATTCATTCTATTGTTCGAAAAATCACTTAAAGCATCCCTATGTTTTTTTGACAATCGACAAATTCTTTCCTTGTCATGCTACGGAACTTATATAATATTTTTAAATTCTAAAATTACCCTTTTATGATAAAAAATACTATTGGGCCTTGGCTGAGATGTTGATATTCCCTCATTTTTATTCAAAATTTTAAAATAAAATTCAACAAAACTGTTTTAGGTCCAACATTGGATTCTTCCTCACTATCTTTCAAACTTGAATTTGATCCACAAAAAAACTCCCCATTTGTTTCTTGATTCGATACCGGTCATGATTCCCCACCCACTTTTTAATTGTGAGCTTAGTTGAAACTGGAACTCAAGATTTGTAGCCTCAGGAGAGAGCGGAAGACCAACCAGGTTCATCACCGTTCCACAACTTCCCTCGTCATCAAATAGACTCTTTTACCAATGGCGCTCTTTGACACCCCCCCCCCCCAAAAAAAAAAAAACTATATGGGCCGGATAAAATTCTGAAAATATGATAAAAAAATATTGTTAATTAGCACATACGATTCCCATCTTCATAAGAAATCAAAATGTACTCGTTCACAGTTAAGTAATCTGTCGTTGTATATTTTAGTAATTGGAAGATTGCAGTGCGTGCAATCAACATTCACATCCTCATCCTCATCTTATGGATACAGATAACTAAATTCTCCCAATTGGGCTTTTCTTCAAAATTGGGAACAACATTTTCTTGTGGTTTTCTAAATGACTTAGTTGTTATATGTGTTTATTATATGATCTTGTCACTTTTTCATTCCTTAAATATTTTATTAATTAGTTAATTACTTTGGATTGCATTTAATTTACTATTCTATAATGCTAAAAATGGAGAGAGAGAGAGAGAGAGAGAGTTTAATGTATATTGTTGCATTAAAGTAGAGAAATGGATTCAACCTCTTTTGTTAAATTCAATAAAATGGTAAAACTATGCAAAGGTATTTTTCTCCCAACCCATTTTGCCCTTTCTTTACCCATTCTTGAGGCTGGATTCACATTTTGAATCTAAGAAAGGACTTGGTTGAAAAAGGACATTGCATATAAGAACAATGGAGGGGAAAATTAACGGCAAGAGAAGAATTTGTCAATTGTCAAAAAGCTTAGGATACTTTAAGTGATTTTCCAAACAGGTAAGTTCTAATCTATTTCATAAAACTTGGGGGGATGCAACCAGTAAATGATGACTTTTTTGCAACAGAGTAAAGGACTTAAACTTTGACGCGTTCCTTTGCGCGGGGGGTAATGGTGTAACAAAATTTTTACAAGCTTCCTTTATATTATATGGTCGATGTTGGAGGTTCATAGTTTATAGGAGGCATTCTTCGTATCAAGTGTAGTAGTTCAGTCTTATGGTAATACTATCATTAGACCCGATCAAGACTCATGGACTGCCCTCCCACTTTTGCATCTTGAAGGGAGGGGTAACCCAACATTTTTGTCATTAGGATTCTACTTCCTGATGCATTGGGGTTTGTTGGTACTCATTCAATCAGATGATAAAAATCTAAAATGATCACTAGTTGCTCAAGATCTAGAACGAGACAATCAGATCTGGCTAGTGGTTATTGAAGAAGCTTGGACGAGGAACCACCATTCAGGCAATCAAAATTAGTGACTTCCCTCCTCACCTGTGCCTCGAAGAGTAGAGTAGAATTATGAAGAAGAGTTTTCGCTAAAATTGAGGTCTTCTGTTCCTTGTACCTACCTATCATTGTCGTCCCACCCTGATCAATTTGTACCAACTTGACTGTTCCATGTAATAAGAGTAAATTCAGATGCCTGAAATATCTCCTCCCTCCCTCCTCCCACCTCCCACCGGTGAAATTTAATTGGCGCTTCCAATATTTCTGTCTAGTTGGGGCTTATAAACGATGCGACACCCTGGCCTTAGAGTAAATTCAGATGCCTGAAATATTTCTGTCTAGTTGGTGGTTCCAAGCAAGTTGCATGGTTCGAAGCAAACTTTACTGGGTACCCGCCATATCCATATATAGTCAAGGCACAGGCACTAGGGCTAATGCTATGGGTAAGTTATGACAAAGACGACTGATGGAGCATTGGTTTCTGATGATAGTTGGAATGGCTGACTTTGTGTGTGTCCATTATTTATGGGGTTAACGTTGAAAGTTGAAAAGAGACACCACCAACGGGGTAGATTTGGAATTTAGATGATAGAGGGTTGTCAGAAGTTAGGACGGAGGAGGACATGGTGGCCTTCGTTGCAGTTGCAGACATCGATCGTTACTCTTGTTCTTGTATATCACCCAGTTGGGGGACCACCGATATGGCGAAATCGATAGGGCGCTCAACCGTCCAAACCACATATAAAAATATCCCCATGCGAGAGAGGACCTATTTTCTCCCTTGTAATGTTGTACGTCAATACATACAGATGTATTGATTCTGGTCTTCTATTTTTTTTTTTGGAGGAGAGGGGGTGTGGAGAGAAGAACAGCCCTGTTTTCTGGACGATGGAATTGCTTCTTTCTCAGTTCTCCCTTTGACCCTTTCTCTTGCTAAGAAAGCATCAATTCTCACTGTGTGTCTGTGTCGTACTGTCAATCCCCACTTTAGATAATATTCCTAGGACGGATCCCATTATCCTGGGTACGTACAACGTAATGGATTTTCGTTAATCAACTGAACAGCAGGATCCACCTCCGAGGAACCTGCCAAAGCAAGTTAGGTGAAGGACGATCAACAAGCAGAGGCTATTTGTGTTTCTCGATTGGAAGGGATTTTACCCCCCATTCAGAATCAATCAAATCTTAGTCTTCGATATAAATAAATTCCTCCTCAATTAGTTTGTTGACTCTGTTCCACTTTCATTCTTTAAGTTAATCTCTGTTTCTCTTTCTCTCTGTATTCAGATTAATGGGATCATGAATTTAAAGAATTAATATTATGAGTCCTTGTGCGACTGTTCTTTTCCCTCTCGTTATTGGACCATCGCTCTCGTCCTCTCAAGTCCAAGAGTCCGCTTATCTCTTTTGAGCAGGACCTTCATATCCACTTGGCTTTCGTGAATTAAACAGCTGTCATCCTGATCATTACTGAAGAGACGGAGCGTTGGATAATAGAGAGGGGGGAGTTTATCCATACATTCATCTTATTGGCGTTGTTTTCTTCACTTTTCAAATCAAATTTCTTAAATTCTGCCTTCTCATCTCCCAAAACTTTCGAAATATCAGGCCTCGCCTCTTGGGAGAAGAATTAGCCAAACCAATCACCCTCTTACACCCTTCTTTTTTCTTCCTATGAAGTATGAACTTACCAAATATTCCCATTTTTTTCTCCAATTTGAGTTCTCTCTCTTAATCTCTTTGTATTTTTAACATCACCGTGACCGTGCCATATCACTTTTCTTGGATCCGGTGAAATACGTGTACACCAACAACGCAACTTAGCGAGTGGGCCAGAGTCCCAGATATGAATTATGAACCTATAAAGTGTAAAGGGATATAAAATCTAGCAAAAATTAAAAAAAGAAAGTATCACCGAATTTCTTACAAGTCTTATCTTTTGCTTGCCATCATGGCATCATCGTCATCCATCCATCCATTCAGGGCTTCAACTAGCCAGTGTACCGACTCCTCCATCTCATATCATAGTCCTGCAAAATTCAATAGCACAAAAAAATTATAAAAAAAAAGGGTCAGAATAATTAGAAGGAGCGTGAGATGAGACGTGCCACATCACAACACATTTATCAAAACACACATCAAAAATATTTTAAAGACAAACGTGTCAAACGGAGAATCTCACCGACACGTGTTAGACAAAGAGAAGTGCAGAAATCAAGAGGTGAATGACTGGGAAGTCAGAACCAACGGTGTACGTGGCATATACTGCACACGAATGCAAATGGACACCTGCCTTTCCGCTCAATTGTAATAAACGACCAACGACGTTTCATCATTCATGGAACCCTAACGGCGAGATTTGCGCCAAGGATAACGGAAATTGTTCTGGAACAGTGGCGCCAAACCCAAATAATGAATGAAGAAGAAGAAAACCACCATCAAATTGGGACTGAAAATGCATTAATGGCCTCGGATTCGAAAATCCTTTTTAACGATTTACAGTCCAATTACATCAAATAACTTCTTCGGTTCCCGGTTCCTTTTCCTCTTCATCTGGTAGGTCTTCTTCATATCTTTCAAAGAACTTTTTTTTTTTTTTCTGTACGTGTTTTAATTCTGTTTTATTTTTTTATTTTTTACTTTTTCTTTTGTCTTGCCTTTGTTAGGACTATTGCCAGTGATTTCCATTGTGTACAAGGTAGATACCGCCGTGGTTTCCTTGAGCATGGTAGCAATAATAATGGTGTTTTCCCACGGGTTTCTCTAGGTAGACGGGAAATCCCAACGGTGTATTACAAATGTGATGGACGCATCGATCAATCACCATGGTTGGAGTAGGCGAGTAAGAGCCAGCGACCGAGTTCAATGATTTCGATGCTGCCCTAGCCTCGAAACTGGAGGTGGTGGAGGAGCTCGCCGACGGAGGTGGTGATATTTGTTTGATGGATTTGGGCGGCGATAGGAAGGCTCTGATCTTTAGATGAGGACGAGACGACGCGCCTCTGTCTCGGTTCGTGCTGGCTCGATCGTACTCCTCGATGAGATTGGCGAGATCCTCGTCCGAGGTAACTGAAACCAAGGCATCTAGATCCTCGTTCGGCAACTGACATCTCAGACTCACTGAGGATCCACACAACTCACCCAGCTTCACCAAGAGTTCTGTGTGCAAATAATCCAAACATCTCACTCAAAATATACAAATACAATCCCTCCAAACCATTTTCTCTTTTTGATTAAACCAAAAGTAAAAAAAAAAAAAATCAAATCGAAATTTATCTAAACCAAAAGGGAGAAAAGATAAAGGGTGAATAGAATGAAATGAATTAAACGAACGAACCTGAAAATGGGGTGGAACGATCAACGGCAAGAACCCTGGTTTCTCCACCGACGTAACGGAGCTTGCCGTCTGGGAAACGGGGAAGAATCTTGCCACCATAGCTACAGAGGTATTTAACGGTGTCATGATTATGGTTGACATTGGCTGCTTTGACGGCGACGTCGTTGGATTCCAGAGACGCTCCGACCATGCTTTTCGTGTTCTGGGTACGAGAGAAAAGATTGGGTCCAGTTGAGGTTACAACTTAAAGAGAAAGGTTTTTACGAGTTGAGAATACGAAAGAGACATAGGAGAGAAGGCGAGGAGGAAACCAATGCTCGGACTGCGCCTTCAAGCCTCTTCTTGGCACCCTCTGTCCCTTATTTATAGAGTTTTGAAGCGGGGGTGGGAGTAAACCGTAAAGAAAGACTTAACGCCGGCTACCTTCTAGGAATTAGGAACCAACCCCACACGGAATGGAAGCGGGTTAAAAGTTAAAACTTGAGAAGAAAACTCGTTAAGAAGAGAAATCCACATCAGGCGGTCAGGAGAAGTGGTCACCGCTTCCAAAGCATATTCTTTTATCTACGACGAGTGGGGTGGCCCACCGATCATCCCTGAATCCTGACCGCTCAAATCGTAGGCTTATTAGCTTTCACTCAGTCAATGATTTTGTGCCCGTTCAAGCAAGTCGACGGACCAAGGTCAAGGTCTATTGTCTATGTCTTGTGGAGATTCGGAAGGTAGAAGGAGCATAGTTCTCAATAATCCGGCGAGACAGTGTATTATTACTTCCATTTGAAAACAATTGAATTCTGAATACTTCTAGCAACTGCCTTTGTCAAGTGGTTAACTGTGTACACCCACCAGAATTCGCAGATTTCAGAGAGGAAACGAAAAAAAGAAAAAAGGTAGAATGCAGGAAAATTATTATAGGCAGTAGCAGTAGCAGTAATGTGTCACAGCCTATAAATCAAGAGATTTTCGTATTTGTGAAGAAAAGTATTTTATTTATTTAAGACTAGAAAGAAAAAAGGAAAAATTATAGCCCATCGTATTTCACGAAATAACGAGAATGACACAATATCTTCGTCTTTACATTGGCTTCACGCCCAGGCCATAAAAAGTTAAATAAAAAATATTTTTCATTATATGCATGTAATCTTTTGCTAGTTAAAACTAATTTTTATTCATTTTGTAAGAGATATGGATTGTAAAAGAACACTTCTACCAAAAACCAAACCCACCCCTTTAACTTAAGTTAATTTTTCTACCAGAAAATTTTCAGTTAGCCAACACCCAGACCCAGGTGGGTCGGATTAAGAATGAATTACCTGATGGAGATTGGAGAGAGATAGAATACCTGGGTTGGGTATTGGATGTTGACGAGATGCGTTTACTGTGCAAAGACAGATCTCTTTTAGGTTATAAAGCTTAACCTCGGAGGGAGGATGGATATCGATGCACTCATACTCATAAACACTTTTTTAAATAAGAAGCCAATTTTTTTTCAGGGTGCTTTGCGTTCCACTTCCTGCATGTTTCGATATGGTGCTACGTAGCACACAAAACAAACACTCGGACCACAGATTAACCCGTTCAAACTTAAAATTCAACAGATTGAGAAAGAAAACGGCCAGACACCCATATATATATATATATATATATATATCTTTGTAAATCGTCTCCTCCCAATTCAACAACGACTTGCAATTTTGGACTGGCCTTCCCCTTCCACACCGTGGGCCGGAGATACAAACTAAACTTATCTTTGCTCCCTGCAACCCACCCCTTGCCATCACAAATTTTTATGGCGAAGCCATACCCACGAGGCCACGACTCGTATTCACAATTTCATGCCCAGCTGCTGGCAGAAGAAAATCTCATTGTGAGGCAGGGGGGACGGGCATGGGACCCAACTTTAGTGACTTTACCATTGGGGCCCTACCTTTCCTACCGATGTCAAGATCCAATTTAATTGTAACAATGCCTTCACTCGGCCTTCTTAATTGCGTGGAATCGTTCTACTTGTTGCCGATATTTTTCTTAGGCCGTGTCGTGTTTACACCGGGGGGTTCTTCTTCTTCTTCACGACTTCACCCCCTTACAAACTACCCAAGGCTGAAGAAGTGAAGATACAAATATCAACACACAGTACGCTGGGAATAGGTTTAAAGAAAGAACCAGGCTTCTTTCAATTTGTAATGTAGCATATGATATTTATTTTTTTGGTGGATATATCAATTAAAATAAGGCAAGGCAAATTAGATGAAGATGCGAAATGGGCCCCCTATTTGGGTGAGTGTGTATAATCTATCCGTCTCCGGCCAAGTCTCAACTTAAAGTTCCCCTGTATTATGTATATTTTAATTAATTTATTCAAGGGGTGGAGAGTGGGAGAGGGAGAGCATATCCGCCTTTTATCTCCTTATCCTCTTTGGGAGGGGAATAATGCAGACCAGACCACTACTCTTGGCTTGTCTCCAGTGTCCAGTCACAAACATGGATGATGATAATGCGTGTATATATATATGTATGGATCATAAAAACAAATAAACAGTCATGTCATGTGATAAGGTCCCCCAAAGAGCAAAAGTTATTAAAATGAACCAAAACTCTATTTTTCCCAATTATCATCTCTCTAATCTTCAATTTAATCCCTTTTCCTGTATCCGGATATGCGCGGCGGTTAATAATCCTATCCCATCTTCAATCTGCTCATCACACTTGGCGTGGACCCGTGTAGACACTTGTGAGAGTTTTGGAACACGCAACCATACAAGTTGGGAGGTGTTGGACTTGGAGGGTCGGCTGTCCTTTTGTGAGATTTCATGAGGCTTCAATTCAGTCGTGTCAACTGCTTGGCCAAAGAAGAGAAGCGACGGCCATATCTGTTAATTAATTTGACTTGGGAGTTGGGAGAGGGACACCCATAGTGGATTAGTCATTAGTGGGTGATGGGGACCTTGATCAAACCTTAATTAACAAAGGTTTTACAACACAACACAATTACCAAAGCCTTTTCCTAAACGTTTGGTATCAATCCGTGTCTCGTCCGGCAAGGGTTGGGAATTGGGTTCTGAGTCTGACCCCCCATCAGGCCATCACCCTCTACTAATAGAAACCGCATTACTTCAATCGCAAGAAATTGTATTTACGTTAGAAGCTCAAATTCCGTATTTAATTTATCACCTTCCGAGTTCCGACTACGTAATATATTCCCGATGCTTATTAGTTTTCAAAGCCTGCATTATCGGAGCTTATAATGGCGAAATTAAATGTGTGAGAGAGACTGAAAAAAGGGGAAACCAGAAATCTTGAGGATAATATTCGAAAATCGGTGTCAAGTAGAGAGCGGTATCCACCTATTGCTACATACGCTCAGCTCACCATGTACCGCACCCTATCTGAGACGGAACGCCTCTGCCATTACTGTTGGGGTGGAGCCAGCTGGTGCTAGCAACTAGATCGGTTAGAAGGTGGGTCCCCTGGTTGAGAAGAGGCCACCTGACGGTTGAAGCAATAAGCGTTAATCGGCCATGGGATCAGGTCAGGTGGAGGTGGGCATGAATCATTAGACAAGTGGGTCGTCACCTAAACAGTGTTGGGGGAACGCATCTGGTACTACTTTATTAAACTTGTGATTAATTCAATATTTCCAATCAGAGAGAGAGAGAGAGAGAGAGGGAATGAGATACTTTAATTCGCCGTAGAGATGGGAGAAGGAGAACGATTCTTCCAAGTTCCAATTTCAATCCATTGCGATATGTGAAATAGGTGGGTGACCGAGTGGCACAAAAGAATATCCTATCTTTGTATCATTTGAAAGGTTGGGCCTGGGCCCACTACAAAGACCAGAGAAACTATAGTCACCCCTCCACTCCACCTCTCTCCTCCTCGCGTTTTCTTTGTATAAATGAATCCAAACACTAATTAAACTAAAGGGTGAGAAAGAGATTAGGAGAATGTGGTCATCTATCTTTGTTAGAAGTAGTCTCTGATTTTGGGGTGTTGAAAGTCAAATTTGCAAGGAATGAAATGGTCAACGATTCAACAAAGAGGGAACTTCTTCTTCAAAGATGTTTTCAGCCAACGATTCAACGACGGACTTCCCAACTTCTCCATGCCTTAATTTCGATGCTGAAAATTCGGAGTCTGCTGCTTTCCAACTTAAAGAAAGAGAAAGTGGAGGTGGTGGTGGAGGAGGAGGGGAGGGGGTATAAAAAAAGAGAAAATGATGTTAGCTAGCTAGTAACATGGATGGTATCTCCCTATCCTTGAGCAAAAAAGCAAAAAGGCAAAAAAGGTTCCCTTGTCAAAATCATTGACATAAGCTTTATTCGGCCATATATGTTGGGAAGACGATGTAGCCCTCCCATAAGATGGGGAACACTTTAACTGCTCACTCTGAGAGAGAGAGAGAGGGAACAAGGTCAGCCTAGCCTCTATATTCCATCTTGTATTGCAGTTTAATTACCTCCATATCTGATAACCCTTTGGTGATCCCATGCATGTGACAGATTTCCTAATGTCTTTTAACTTAGAAATTCTGATAAATTCTTCGAATTTTGTCACGGAGCAAAGTCGGTTCTCGTATGAAACATGTGCATGGCGATGGAGTGGAGAACAAACTGAAACTACAAGAGTAAGGCTTAATTTCGCCGCTTGAGGCTTTCGGTATGAAACTCATGCCAATAACAAAAGCCGAGAGTAGTACACGTCACGTTTTTTTCCTCCCACCTCTAATTCTAGGGTAATAGTTGAGTTATTATGTCCATCCATTTTGTGGTGTAATTTTGCTTTCCTCCCTTTCGAAATTCTAATTTGTTTGGATGTAAATAGTAAGACAAAAAAAAAAAGTTCTCATCAACAAAGATATATAACAAAAAAGTTTCGTCCCAATGCAGTGCGGTGAGGAGGGGAAACTCAGATGACCCTGAAACTTCTTTATGTTGTAACCAGATTCTCAGGAGTACTCCCTTGCGATACCTTCTAAATTTATTTCATTGTTCATGTTTTCATTGGCTGTTTAATTCTTTCAAAAAAGAAAAACATACTGGCTGTCGTAAGGGAGTCCTACGGCCTTTGCCTTTTAAGAAATGCACCCGAGGCAAATCAAACGTAAATTTATATTTTGGTTCAATTTTGCAGACGTTTGATACGGTTGGTTAGATTTCAGCCTAAAAATTCGTATTTGGGCACATTACAACCAAATGCAATACAAATTTCTCAAAGCATTTTCAACCTACGTTTTAATCAAATTTGCATTTTAATTGATACATATGCTTTTAGCACTTTTTACCAAATGCAAAAAATATAAAAAAGGTGGATGATACAAGCTTTGTAAAGAGGGGATATATTGAAATTCAACATTGTGGATAGATGGCACAAAATCACTTTGGGTAGGTAGGTACAATGTTGTAAGAACGGTAAATGAGCACTAAAAAATTTTTAGACACCTGCCCCTTAAAATATTCTCAGCCTATCCTTAAAAAAATTAATATTCACTTTTGATACTTGTCAAAATA